GTGCAAACATATGGTTTAAAGGAAAGGCAAGACAAGTCCACAAAAGTGCTCGAGTTTATTAAAGTCCAACTCTTTTTGGAAATGTACTTTTCCTTCTTCTGGAGTAATATGAGGGGACAGAATGAGTCAGATGAAAACACTGAGAAGGAAAAATGACATTTCCAAAACACACTGGACTTTAATAAATTTCGGCACTTTTGAGAATTTGTCTTCCCATTTCTTTTCTCATTGCATCCCATGCCTTTTCTTTGCTATGTGTTCATCAAATGGTTTAGTTATTTCCTAGTCTTTTGATTCTCACAGCTCTGCTCAATTCCCTGTTTGATCCATAATTTATGCTTGGCTTCAGCTATACAAATTTCTAAAATCCTTGTTTGTAGCCCAGTTGGCAATGCTGTCGCTGGTCGGTCGGTCGGCCGGTCGGTCAGTCATTCATGTCCAGTGAGTAATTAATCATCTTCTGTGTCTAAAAGAAGTGCCACTTTAAAATGCCAGTTTTCCATGAGGATCGTGTTTGTTATCTCTTAGCTACAGGAATGTCAATACAAGAGGAGTCATTTTCAGCACAGAAAGGGAGACATGCTCACAAGCAACCCTTCCAGCCTTGAGGGGAAAGAACCTTGCTCCATAAAGCACTCCGAGTTCTTATACATGCAAAAGTAATGCCACATAAGTTCCCTTGGCACAAACACATAGCTGGTAGGAACATGTCAACGGAATGATTTATTGTAGCAAACTCCACCTGGACAGCCTGTTACCTGCGTAACACCTGACAGTTGAAAGTTTAAACCTCTTTTACTGCTTCCTGTCTAAACATAGATCAGTTATGCTAACAGTAGTTTGAATTTAAGCCTGTTAACGGTCCACAGCAAATCAAAAGCAATAACAAGCAGTATGTTAGAAGTAAAATGCACAACGTTGTGGCATTGTAGATTCTGCAGCTGCACTGAAGTTATGTAGACTGTAAGTACAATTCCAAAATCCACGTTAGCGTAATGCCTACGTTGGATCAACCAAAAGATCACAAAGAAGTACTAGCTTTCTAGATTTCTTTGGAAGGTGGGATATTATAAAAAGCAGGGGTGTGTGCATGGGGGACAGAGTTAAAGAGGGGGAAGAAAAGAACGAAAGCTGACTTGACTGTGTGTTCAGAGTTCCAAGATGGAGAGGAGCTTTCATTTTATGGCACGCAGTGGTTACTCCCTTGCTGGCTGTCCCCATTCTCCAGTCCTAATCTCCCCATATGCTTTCTCCACGCATGCAGCCAGTCAACCCGCACTCTGTATGTCTGAGATGGGCAAACCTTTCAGCTGCTGCTGGATGTGGGGGCTGTGTACAGCGGGGCAGGACTGTTGGGGGGCCTAAAGCCTGTCCTTAGCCAGTAACAACTCCGATGAGGATCTCAGTTGGAGGGTGCAGCCAAAGCCCCATCCAAATTCTACATCCTCCATTCCAAATCATATGCTTGTAGACACCTGTGCAGACCAATCTCGAATATCTAATCTATTCAGATTCTTCTCTAATTGCATTTGCAAATTTTCCTCTCTTGTTACCCTTCCATCTGCCAAAATTGCAACTGCATACTCCCCGAGGCATGGACCTGTCTCTCCTCCACCCCACTTCCTTCTTTTGCTTGCTTAGGTTTCTCTAAAGAAGATCCTGTGCATAGGTTGGTGCCCTATCAAAAGCTATCACTCCCACATAGTCTCTCCCCCTCCCCACAAGTATTTATGTTACCTAAGTCTGAGCGGGGGGGGGGGGGGGCGCAGCGGGGAGGTTGGAACCTGAAGCAGAAAACAGACAGGTAAGACATAGCACCTGAAAATCCTTGTGGTCCTCATTAGAATGGAAGAAGGTACTCAAGTTTAGTAAGCTAAAGGGCTCTCTTCTTATAGCGTCTATGTATATGCTGAGTCCTTGCAGAGGTAGTGTGAGTCCCTCACTTAACACGCCTGATCTCGTAAGACTAAACACTCATCTCCATTTTACTCAGTCATCCTCAGTTTTGGAGATGCAACAGTTTCACAGCCTTCCGGATGCTGCTGTTCCAGCATCTTTCCCGAACAAATCTGTGGGCCAGAATGACTGGAGGAAAACAGGATGCAGAAAAGCTGCATACACTGGAGATAACAAATAAAACACAGGAGAGGACAAAGTGAGAGAAGTGGGATGTTGAATCAAGGCAAAGAATGGTGAAAAGGAGGTCAACGGTTTTATATATAAAGTGAGAACTGTTCAGAATTATCTGGTGCAGCCAAGGCACAGATAGGTCCAGAAGTCATCAGGTATTTATGCAGGTATCCTTCCTCCACCATGATCAAAGGCAATGCAGAAAACACTGCAAGTGTTGGAGCGTGCATGGGCAACCAAATTGTGCTTTGTGTTTCCTTGAATGCACCCCTGGACAAACACTGCAGGGCAAAGCTGCCAGGAAGAATGGGGGAATAGAAGGAGTTGAGTGTGTGGAAAACTGATTCAAACAGGCATTTGCTACTTTTTGTTGCTGCCATGACTGATTCATCATTTAATTTATTTAATTCATTGATTTCGCTCTCTACTTGTTATGAATTGACCTGAATTGCATGTCCTAGCAAGCCGCAGTTAGCCAGATGTGGGTTGTTGAGAAGACAAGTGCGTTGCCTGTTGTTCATTCCCTTGCATCTGTCCATTCCTGCTGTGATTAAAAAAATCTCTATCACTATATCTATCCATCTACCTCAAGGCTACTTAGCATGATGTCTGAACCCCAAACTCGCCCTGAGGTTACTGAATTGCTGATTTTGCCTTATTTAATTAATATGCTGTGTAACAAATTGCTTTCTCAAGTACTGTTTCTTGGAGACAGGTTAAATGTTTACAGTGAACCACTTTGGGAGAAGTTTGCTGTGGAAGAGTGGCATATAAAGAAAATTCAAATCCACAGACACAAAGAGCAAATCATTACAGATCCATAAATACCATTCCTGAACAGTCGTATCCTATGCTTTAAATATTCTTTGCCTTTTAAAATTTGAACTGGACTCATTATCAGATATATTTTTAGAAAAGATGATTAGACTACCTTCTGTTTGCCCCCAATGTATACTAGCAAAATTCTTTGATAAAGTTCTTTGCATGTGTTATGAGTGTAACTGTTGAGCTGCAGAAGCAAGCGCTGGTCAGGGCCTCTCATTCTAATCAAACAGTTTATATCAGAAGTAGCCGCATTATGAAGTAAATCTGCAGAATAGCTATGAGGACGATCACTCTCAATGAAGTGGAACAGAGGAAGTCTAACATGTCCTGATTTTGAATCAACATTCAAACAGCATCATGCTTAAACTAATAGGGAGTTCCAGAGTAAATTGGGTGTGAAAACAGACTTGAATGTGGCAACCAGAGGGTGGAATTCCCACTGCTAGACCCTTGGTGGGATCATTAACATTGCAAAGGGGAAGTCAGTCTGAACAGCCTTCTTTTTCCTTTTTTAAACTCTTACCTAACAAGGTCTTCTGCAGGCTGCAATTCCATCACGTATAACTGCCATGTATCGTTTACTGGCAGCTATACAGCACAAAACTGCTTTTCTAAAGGACTCATTTTTAAAGGATGCCATTTTATAGGAAGCTCCAAGCTTCTGGAGAAGACCTTAGGCTTGTTCGGAGGGTTCTCAAAATAAAAACGAACAACTCACCCCACCCCAACCCCCACGCTCTTGGAGACTTAGCCCAGTAGCAGGTGGAGCTGCATGCAAATAGGACAGTGCCAAAATGCCAAAGTTGGGGATGCATTCAAGCTCACAGTCGTGACTGCCTGTGACATGCCTTAGGAGGGGCCCATCAAATTCCACAAAAAGTCAAGAAGCCACCCCACAATCCATGGGTAAGGAAAGAGGGCAGGGCCATAGGGAGACCCCCAAAGGGACAGACTGGGTCCCCAGACTTCACTGACAAGCCTGAAGTTTGCCATGCTGGCTTTACACAATTTGACTAGGTTACCTTGGTGTGCAACCATGGTTTTTGTGGCACAAAACATCCCCCACCTGCAGGATATTGAAACTGAGCATGAGGCCTGGGAAGCTTCACTGATGTGGAAGGAGAGCGCTTTGCCAGCATGACCCATGAGGAAAGAAGCTCCTCCTTTTCCCCATCATACTATGCAAAAATAAACCCATAGACCTCCATCAATTTGAAAGTGGGCATTTACTTAACATTGCAGCAGCAGTTCCCAAAGATTTACAGCACTCTTTTTGTCAAAGGAAGTCAAAATATATATTAAAAGGATTATCCCATACAGAATTCCACCAAAGTATCATCCACTAGGAAGGCCTATCATTCTTCAAGTGTTAGTAGGGATGAAAATTAGCAGTGGGCAGCCATGTGTCCCACATTTTGAGAACTGTTCCAGGCAACCTAATTCGTTATGTGATTCTGGGCACTTTCACCAGCACATACATGAAGGAGAGAAGAGTCCAGTAACAGTCCCGAGTCCAACAGCAGCAGCTCAGTTAGAACCGTCTTCCGCAATCTCCCCCAGGCTTCCTCCAAATACCTCTGCAGGGAGCCATACAGGGGAAAAGTGAGCTAGCACAGCAACAAGACTGGTGTTCTTCATCCTCATTTAAGAGATTATATGAGAAATGTTGCAACTAGATGTTTTTCTTTTCCTGAATAACACCAAGCAACAACTGGATGCCGACCAGCTGGAATGCTGGGATGTTGCACTACTGCCTTTCCTCTTGAGTTGGATCACGTATAGGAAGCAGGTCATAGTACATAGGTGGAAGACGGAGAAATCAGTGGTCTGCTAGCCAATGTACTGAATCCTGAGTAGCACACAGATGTGCTTCACTTCAAGCAAGAAACTGAGTCGTGGATCTTGACTGATGCTATTGATCAGTTAAACAACTTTTTTGTGCAAGTTACTCTGATCAGTGCTGTTTCCCAAGAGATCATTTGAAAAGAGATTTATGACTGATTCCAGTGGGAGTCAAAATAAGTAGCAAGGTGGGAGGCCAGCAATGATGTAATACGAAAGAATTTTTTAATAAACATATTCTACTAAAATACATAAAACGTATCAAAACTCCATTAAAATCTTACTGTTCTACACCAATGACTGCAAAACAGAAAATTCCTAGTGGGTTTTCTTCTTTTTAGCTGGGACGGAAGTTTTCTTTGCAGTCTTGCTCTGAGGTTTTGGTTCATACAATGCGTTTCGTACGAATCTTGAAGCAGCACCCTTATCCAGTTTGGCAGCCTTTTTCTTGTCTGCTATCTCCTTCACTCTGTTCATATACGTCCTTATTCTCTCCTGAAACATAATAGTAGGAAGTATATTTTTTACATTTCCATAAGTGGACAGAAAGATGTAGAAAGCATTAAGTAATAGATTAGATTTGCTTATACCAGGAATAGGCAACTTTTAGCATCCAGATATTTTGGTCTACAAATCCCATCAACCCTCACCATTGACTGTGCTAGCTAGGGCTAATGGGATCTGTAGGCTGAAACATCTGAGGGGGCACAAGTTGCCTAACCCTGGTTTACACATTTGGAATTCAACCCAACTGGAAGCGGGCATTAATGCAAGTATGAAAGGTGGCTGACAAACACAGATCAATACAGCATTTCAACATTAAAAAAAAAATCTAAAGGGCTAAGTTATTGAAATTTTAACTTTTGTTAAAAGGGATTGCTAACTTCTAGTGATATGAAGGGAATGTTTCATGCAAAGATGGGCATGATAAAAGACCAAAATGGCAGGGACCTAACAGAGGCAGAGGAGATTAAGAAGAGGTGGCAAGATTACACAGAGGAACTATACAAGAAAGAGCTTCACGTCCCTGATAACCACGATGGGGTGGTCACTGACCTCGAGCCAGACACCCTGGAATGTGAAGTCAAATGGGCCTTAGGAAGTCTGAGCAACAACAAAGCTAGTGGAGGAGACAGTATTCCAGCTGAGCTATTCAAAATCTTAAAAGACGATGCGGTAAAAGTGCTACACTCAATATGCCAGCAAATTTGGAAAACTCAACAGTGGCCACAGGGAGTACCTGACCATCTTATTTTTCTCTTGAGAAACCTATATGTGGGTCAAGAAGCAACAGTTAGAACTGGACACGGAACCACTGATTGGTTCAAAATTGAGAAAGGAGTTCGGCAAGGCTGTATACTGTTGCCCTGCCTATTAAACTTATATGCAGAGCACATCGTGAGAAAGTTGGGGCTAGATGAATCACAAGTTGGAATTAAGATTGCCAGGAGAAATATCAACAACCTCAGATATGCAGATGATACCACTCTCATGGCAGAAAGTGAAGAGGAACTAAAGAGCCTCTTGATGCGGGTGGAGAGTGCAAAAGTTGGCTTGAAACTCAATGTTAAGAAAACTAAGATCATGGCATCCGGTCCTCTCACTTGCTGGCAAACAGATGGGGAAGAAATGGAGGTAGTGACAGATTTTATTTTCCTGGACCCCAAGATCACCACAGATGGAGACTGCAGCCAAGAAACTAAAAGACGCTTGCTCCTGGGGAGGAGAGCTATGGCAAATCTAGACAGCATACTAAAAAGCAGAGACATCACCCTGCCAACAAAAGTGCGTATAGTCAAAGCTATGGTTTTTCCAGTTGCAATGTATAGCTGTGAAAGTTGGACCATAAGGAAGGCTGAGTTCAAAAAGATTGAGGCCTTTGAATTGTGGTGCTGGAGGAGACTCCTGAGAGTCCCTTGGACTGCAAGGTGATCAACCCAGTCAGTCCTAGAGGAGATCAACCCTGACTGCTCTTTAGAAGGCCAGATCCTGAAGATGAAACTCAAATACTTTGGCCACCTAATGAGAAGGAAAGACTTCCTGGAGAAGAGCCTAATGCTGGGAACAATAGATGGCAAAAGAAGAAGGGGACGGCAGAGGATGAGGTGGCTAGATGGAGTCACTGAAGCAGTTGGTGTGAGCTTAAGTGGACTCCAGGGGATGGTGGAGGACAGGAAGGCCTGGAGGAATGTGGTCCATGGGGTCGCAATGGGTCAGACATGACTTTGCGACTAACAACAACAACAAAGAGTTCTCCTGTTCATTCCCTGATTGCACTGAAAGGATCGCAGTTGTGAGGGAGATCCCAGATTGAGAAATGTGGCATCTCCCTGAGTAGCTAGTTTAAAACAGGAGGGACAAAAAGGTACCACTGCAGAGGCTCAACTATTTTTTTGTGTTCCAAATTTCAGTGTTAAAACAAATATTACAGCATATGGACGCCACTTGGCAGAGTCATCACATTCATTCCAGCAGGATATTTTGCTAAATGAGAAGAACCAATAGAGTAGGTCTAACATAAAAATTCTTCTTAGTTGACCAAACTGCAGGAGTCTGCGATATGCTATGAGCCCACTTACAATGGACAGCTATTTGCGTAATCCAAAGGGAGACTTTTAACTGGCCAAACAGTAAAATTCTACTTGGAATGTTCAGTGACTTGCATTTAAAACAAGGTTAGCCAATTAAATTGTTAGCAGATCTTTTGAGAAAGGCAGTTTTAAAATACTCTGTGACCAAAACCTCAGCATAGCTGCCTTTAAAACAAAATGTTAAGCACAAAATACTTTTAACAGAACTGTTACTCATTCAAGGAAAGGGACACCTATAATTTACTCTGTGCTATCTCTAACACTAAACAATGTCTCTGAAAATTAAAACAAGCAAGCAAGCACCCTGAACCTGCGGGTTTAGACGCAAGCTGTGTTTGTAAGATCAGCTACTACCACAACACACCTTCATCAAACTAACTTGAATGCACAGACACGGTATTTGTGTCTGCACATCCAAAGCATCCACTGGCACTGCCATTTATCAAATGTTCCATTCAGACATCATGGCATTTCAGTTGGTAATTCAGAAAATAACTCTCATTGCCTGATAAAACCAGCCATTTTTGGAAGGAGGCGCTCAGCTGGCTTGTTTTACAAACTAGGGTTTGTTTTAAACCCCAGATCCTGGTTCACTTATTAATGAGAGCAATGGCCAAGTCTTCCCAGCCAGACAGGAAGGGGGCAGTTGGAGAGGGAGGGCCTGAGGCTTTGTTCCAGTGCAGGAGGCGCTTCCAAGTAATGCTAAATCACAGTTTAGTGCTATACGTGAACCAGGCCAATGTGGGTGAGAGGTGGACACGACACACAGAATGAATTCTCGGAGCCTAATGAAAATGTTCACTAAGCATTCCATATGCATTCCCTTCAAGCACACGGGAAATCCATCCTGCCAAACTAATGGTAAGGAACAGCCATGGATTGACTTTCCACATGCCAGTTAAGGACTTCACACCATCCTTCAGAAAGAATCAACGGCCACTTGCACCCTCAGTCCCCTCCAATCGTAATTTCCCAATGAAGAATAGAAGCAAAGAATAACCCCTTTCCTCTTAAGGAGTTCTAGCTATCAGCACTGCACTGACTATATTTGCTATAGGCTAATGAGACAACTTCATACTGACTTTTCATAGCTTGGGAGGAGTAAAAGAAAGTGAAGTGTGATTTGGTTCAGATAAATATTGGATCAATCCAATTCTTTTCAAAAGAAGAATTATAAGCTCAACAACCTAGTATGTAGAGACATGAGGTTACATTTCCCTTCACAACAGTGCTTTTGTTTTGCAATGAGTGTTGCCTACAATCTGCATTTATGGTTCCCTACTTTTTATCCTATTAACAATAGTGTGTATGTGTATAATATAATACAGCAATTCTGACAGCCACAGATTTGATCTAGAGTTTTTCTATTCTTCAAACTAAATCATTTGATCTGATTCTTGGAGTCAGCAGAATTTCCAAGATACCCAGTCTTATATACTGTACTCATGCATCTAAATGGATTATAAAGACAAACCTAAAAGATTTATTATAGGCAGTAAATATGTCACTAATGCAGAATCGCTGGACAGTACACATGCAACTGGTGCCAAAAAAGCTTTTAGCTTTGTTGCCGAACGGGATTCTTTACTGCTGAGAAAATGAATTAATGGAAGGATTGGAAAAGGGGAGGGGGAATCCTTCCCGTCTTTGCTAGTAAATCAACCACACGATACATTTAAAGTCATACAGGAGTAGGAAACGGTAGCCTCAGAGATTAACACAAGTCCACGTATTTAGAGGAAAACACACAGTACTGGAAGTTATAAATAATTATTAGACATGTAACATTTTTCCATTCCGTAACTGAAAAGCTGGCTGGCATAAAGTTCAGCTCTCTACAGGGAGAGGAGAAAGGATAGTTTATTTGAGCTTGCACTCCTTTTAGAGTTTCACTGAGACTGAAGCTTCAGCTTTTGGAGACAGACAATACAATCCTGAACACACACACCTTGGAATTCCTTCCCAGTTTAGGAAAGTAAGGGAATAATCCTGCATGCAATGGCAGCTCTGCCTGAACAGAAGCACTTCTGCTCACACGAACCCTTGGGCTCTTTTAAGCTCCCACTCCTTCCCAAAAGTGCCTTCTGAAGGTTGTGGGGACTCCTTGACAACAGAACAGATTGCAGTATGGATGTGTGCCCTACAAAAATGAGACACCCCCAACACACTTCAGCAAAACATGCTATACCAAGGCAGAGCCATCATTGCTCCCAACAAGGCAAGGGGCATTCATGGGAGGCAGCTGCTGATTGTGGCTGATCCCTGCAAGCCAACAGGGTCTAAGGCTGTTTGCACAGTGGCTGAAAGGCCATGCATGTGTACTCTGAAGGGCAGAAAACTCTGGCTGCTTCTATCTTTCCTCCAGGCTGGGGAAAACCATCCGTGCATCCCCAGCTATGACATGTTAACATGTTATGACGTTAAGTGCTCATGCAATGTATGAACATTTCTCACACTGCTGAAAAGGGCAGCACAGCTGGCTGCTGCAAGTACAATTCAGGAGAGTCATGTCACAAGTGAGTTGGCAGAGCACACCGCTGACATGGAGCTATTGCCACACTAAAACTATTGGACCATGTGAATTCAGGCTCAGCCACTCACCAGATGTACATTCACTTAATCTCAGTGCCATAACCTGTTAAGCATGACACTTTCTTTTACCCATTTTGTGCTTCCATAACCAATCTGTAAACTTTTGAAACTGATAAACATCCACATCCAAGGAACTAATTCTGTGATCCAGCATGCAGTAACTTCATTTTCTTTTGGATCAAGGCAAACTGTATGCACAGGTGACTCTCGGAAGTCAGAGCCATACATATCGCAGAATTTTGCAATTGCTGATCCAGAAAATAAGGGGGGGGGAGCTCCCTACAAGAAGAACCGGCATATCAGGGTTCGATGCTCGCTTTCTGCTTGCTGAACAGCAAGTTGACCATTTTTAATAGCAGGGTTTAAAAAGGCGTGATCCCTATATGAAGTGCACAAACAAATTGCACCAGCTCAGTCTTCCACCATCCATGCAGATAAATTCAGATAGATAATTTGCAATGCCTTTTGTTCCCACCATTGTTCTGCCACTTTCACAGTTATTATTTGCTGTTAAAAAGCTGACAGTCTGAAAATTAGACCAAACTATGGCCCTGAAAATAATGCTTATAATTGCCCTTCTACAGAAGATTAACTTAACAGACATGTCTGATATGAGAGGATTGCTCTGCAATTGACAGTGTTGTACGGTTGTTCTTCAATTAATTGTGCATGATTCCATAAGGAAAAAGAAAGGAAAAATATTTTGCTATAGCATCTTAGGTATATAATGTGTCATCCATCCATGTCAACCCCAAATTTTAAAATTCCAAATGAATACTGTATAAGCACAATCAGGAATTTTGTACTGTTTTTGACAGTACTGGTAAAAACTTACCAGTTCTTGTTTCACTGGATGCTCCTTTGGATTAATTCCTTGAGTGGCAAGGTACACTGCAAAATTCATCATCATCATCATCATCATCAAAAACACTTTAGTAACAGAATAATGAGCCACCTTGGGCTCCTTACAAGGGAAAAAACAGAAAATAAATGTAACAAATAGAATAAAATGCAAGAACACAAATCAATTGCAAGACTGCAAAATGGTTTTGCTAAATCCAACCCTGCACCATTCTAATCATCCTTAACACTTAGGAGAAAAAGTGTTAAAAGCTCTACAACCAAAAAATGGTAAGAAGGGAAACAAAAGAGGACAAGGGAATTGATTGATGATTATAAGTGGTGATGTCTTGAGTTTTTTTCTTTTAACATCACTTATAAAAGTATAGTAGAAGTAAAATCATTCTTAGAAACTGGATTCAATAGATAACTAGTTGAAAAGTTGCTTATTTAAATATACAGTTACATAATGAAGTTACATAATGAAGCATTTAAGTTGTTACCATGAATTTCTTACTCTACAAACTCACCCCAAAACATGGAATTCAGTGTGTAAACAGAGACCAAATCTAATTTTGCTTGTTCAAGAGGATCCAGCTAAAACCAAAAAGATAAGATCATCATCATGTGCATTTTATTATGTTTCACTGAGACATCAGAATAGCTCACAGCAATAGGCACGAACTACAATCACTTCAGAGAGCCAGTCCCACTTTTCGCTTAATCTAGCCAGGTTTACAGCACACTCCACGGAACTCAGGTTCAAAAACCCCCAGAGCGCCTGTGTGCTGCAGTGGTTAACAGGGCAGGACTGGGACTCAGGAGATCTGGGCTCTCGTCCCCACTCAACCATGGAACTCCCTGCGTGACTTGGACCAGTCACAGAGTCTCTCAGCCCAACCTACTTCACAGGGCTGTTGTTATGAGGATAAAATTGAGGGAAGGAAGAGAATTGTGAGCCACCCTGAGTTCCTTGGAAGGAACAAATAAAAATCAAACCTGAGCACCAAACTGTTTCATCTTAATTGTTTGTATCCAGAATCAAACCTTTACCTTAACTTCAAGTAAACAAAACTCTAATGAAAGGCTCAAGAAATGTAACCTTTATATAGGTGTGACTGAGTATCTAGAGCATTGATTCTGTGATACCTATTCCAACCATCCTATTAAAATATTATCTATCTAACATAAACATCAATTCAGAAACTGACATCAAAGTCATCAAAGAAAGACAACGCTTAAATCATCTAAAAGGTTAAGGGTGCAATCTTGTGATGATGAAAACAAGATGACATAGATGAAAAAAGTGGACTCAGCATCTGTAAGGTAGACCTGAATGGTATGAGCACTTGGCACATATTATTTGCAGTGATCCTGAAATATCTGTGTAAGGTAGGCCAGGACTAACCTACCGCAGGTGGAAGTTCTGAGGCTAAGAGACAGTGGCTTACCAGCATGGGCTAGTGCATCAGGGATGAATGCAGCCCTCCGTATGTTCTGGCCTGTAGTTCCCATGATCTCTTACCACTGATATGCTGGCTAGGGCTGACTGGACTTGCAGCCCATAGGCTGCCCATCACTGAACTACTAATTTCATGGCAGAGCTAAGAATCAAAACACAGCTTCCCATTTGCAATTCATTCTTAGCCATTATGCTATGCTGGTCCTCATTGTGTGTCAGCTAATACACTGATAATGCCCGGTTTCAGACAACATAATAACTCAAGGGCTGAGCCTAGACTGAGTGTGGGTTGCTGCTGAACCAAGCATTCTTGTCTGAATCTAGCTGAGATAACAAACCATAGTGCAGAGTATACAGTTCACAGTCCAACAACAAACCATAGGTCTCTTTATGGGCTGTGTGCAGTTAACAAGCCACAGCTTGTCAGTGCAGCTCAGTTCAGACATGACCAACCATGTTTCAACAACTACCTATGATTCAGCAACTCACATCCAACCAGTCACTGCGGGCTACTGTGTTGTCTGAACCAGGCTCTGGCAGAGATCCATTGAGGTAGCCCACATGCCGGTGGAGCTTCTCAGAGGCCAACTATGAAAGTGCTGCGAGTCCATCAGGTTCCTTCTCTTTAACAGCAGAATGGGCGCTCTGTGCCTCGCTGCCACCACGCAAATATATAAAATGCAGGCAGGAAAAGCGGGGCGGTTCACCAAAGGTAGAAACATTTTTTGGCTGTCAAAGCCAATCTATCATTCTGTTCCTGTAGGATTTCCAGGAAGCGCAGGTTACACAAGCGTACGGCTTACAAGACTGGACATGGATTCTGCCAGAGGACAGAGCTGTGGAGGCTGTTGCGCTCATAATTTATTCATGGCTGGAAGGCTTCAGGGGTGAAATTCCCCAATGAGTGAGCCTTTATTTTGCCCCAGAGAAATTACAAATTGGATTCTAAATAAAAGTGCATAAATACATGCACAAAAACCTTAGGTACTGTGTGTGAAAAGGGGGGGAGCAAAGAGATGCTTTATGTATTCCTTCAGATGTGTTGTAACACCGCTGGAAGGGAGAGTGGAAAAGTGCAAAGGCCAGATTTTACATTCTATCACCTGTTTGTTCTCAAACTTGAGGGCAGGAAGAAGACATCTTGCTTTCTGTCCTCTGGGCAAACTGAGCACTAAATACTACGGAGTACAAGAGCTCCCACATTCTATCTATTTTTAACTGACTGAAATATTTAAGGCACAATCCTATGCAAGTGTAAGCACAAACACCTAAGCAGCCTTTCTGGAGCAAGACCACCCAAGGCAGCAGTCACCAATGAAACGAATGTGCACCTGCAGCCTTAGCTGGACATGTCCTTGTATCTTCCTCTTCCTTACCTTCTGGAGAAGTTCACTTCTAGACACAGACATCATCGTCTTCAGCATCTCATCGACAGAAGCAACAGACTTTTCAAACGCCAAAAGGTAATCGTGAATCTCTGTTGGATATTCTTCTCTGACAAGATCCATCTCTGACATGATGCTCTACACACAAGAATCAGAACAGTTTTCACTATTGGTAATGGCAGATAACACTGTAATCATCTGCTGTGTGCAACAGCAGCAAAGGACGGCAAGCCATGAACAAAAGCACTGCCATTGACGCACAATGCAAGTTTCTTGGCCCATTCCAGGAGAGCCACAAAAGCCAAACCCTTCATTTCAAATGAGTTTTTATATCTCACTCCATGGCTATCTTGCCAGCATTTTTAAAAAATTAAAAAAGGCTCCCAGAATACCTTACACTCAATCAGTCCCAGCCCACAGGTTTACAATCTCATGAGACACAACACACGAGGGCAAGGGTAGGGAGAGGGAAAAGAAGAAAATTGAGGGTGCTATCCTATGCATGGTTAGATAGGAAAAAAACCCAGGGCTCCCAGCATCCCCAGGCAGTGTGGAATGCTGGGCGTGGCAAAGCTTTTTCGTGCGTAGACATGCATCAGATTGCTCCCTAAGCAGGTCTGCAGTAAAGCTGGTGGAATAGCCTTGCCTCTTTCATCCAGTGGGGAGAAAGTGGGCAGCCCAACCAGAGCAGACCTCGAGGTTCCCACTGCCTGCTTCCACCTCCCTCCCCACTTCCTTCAGTTGTTTTAGTTGGCAGATGGTAATGGCAACATCTGAAGGATTCTTTCCAATGGAGAGCCCAGATCCCATGGCTGCCCCCCACGCCAGGTCTTGCTCTCCACTGCGTGTGGGCATGGGAGATTCTCGCCCAGGACATAATTCGATATATGGAAACCTGCCTGTGCAGAAGCAGCAGTGGAAGCACACTGTCTTGATCTGATTTTTCAAAAGAAAAGGCATGGAGCAGGCCCACTTGGGCCCACTGCATGTTTTCAATTCTAGCTACAAGGTGACTGAAACAGAAAAGAATGACTGCCTTCAGTTGGGTCTACCCAGCAAGCAGTTGTGCACATCCACCGAGTGGGTGGGAAAGGACCAGTGCTACTCTTCTTACCCTGGAGACAAACTTACCTGAATCGACTTTCTGCCTGGCGTGTGCTTCCAGGCACCGCTGCTCCATCACTGCCACCACCAGCTGGCCCAGCAGGCCAGTGAACAAGTAGCTAGCGGCCACTCCTGCTCCTCCTTCCCACCAGCAGAGCAAGAGGCAGGTGAGCAAGGAGGCTGCTAGGGTCCCCTTGCTGATGGGCCTCTGCAAAGGTAAGGCCCTTCGCAAGTGCCCCAGAGGCCTCCCCTTGACACAGAGGCAGGCTGGAGGAGCCCAGCCACAGAGAACTCGTTGCCCCAGTCACTCACTTGCACTAAGGCAAGGCTTGGGATGTTTCAGCGAGGGCTCCCGTGTGGATTCAATTGATTGTTTGGATCAATTAAAATCTTTCCCTCCAATAAGTAGGTGTCCCCAATGAATCAGGCAGTAGATATTTAATTTACCATAAGTGCTTACAAAAGCTGCTAGCTGTGCAGGTAACTTCATGTTAATTAACTTACCTAGTGCCAGTATTTCTTTGCTATCAGCAACAACTGTTTTATAAATGACCATTGCTAATAATATAATCATCACTGTCTGTAGTTTCTGCATTTTGTTCCCCTCTGACCTCACTAACCTCTGTATGTGCATGTGGCGGGGAGGTGGAGATTATATGCACACACTCGCAGTTTAGGATAGCACTTTTATGCAAGTTGACTATAGTCCACAAATGCTTATGACATGGTAAATTTGTTTTGAAGATTCCACAAGACTTGTTTTGCTGAAGCAGGCTAACAGTTACCCCTCTGGATTTGTGTGAGAGAAGAGGGATGCCTGGTTAGATGCCCTCTTCTAAAATGGCAGCTTCTAAGAAGACACTTGTATTTAATCTATTAGTTCAGCAGTTAAAACTCCTATTAAAATTTTAGTTCAAACAAATATACACAAACTCTGGCACTGAATGAGTCAGATCACTGCCCGTTATTACAAAATATTTGGTTGCCAAAATCAACACATATGGTATGTTTGTAGCTATGGAACAGATGTTGCCAAGGGAAAATAATGGATTAATGATTCCATATATCTAGAGGCAATCTTGGACTCCTTGTTTATTTCATTTATTTAATCCACCAAAGCAATTACTTAAACCATACAAAAAAGGTATTTCTTATAACAAGCAGAAACTTGATTACTTTCCAGCCTCATTTTTTTTAACAACAAAACAGTGTTGCCAAAACTGGATGGGTGCCCTATAAAAGAAAAACAAAAATGTGTTTCCAAATAATTCCAGTCATGAGAGAAGGCCAAAAAAAGTAGAATATTCTAGAGAGCCACTAGGCAAGGAATGTGTAATGGGGTAAACTATTCTGTAAAGAGGCACACTGTCTGAATCAGATTTTATTTACTAACTAGTCCAGACAAGACGGAAGTAATCCCAGCTGGTAATGGAACCTGAAAGATGTTACCAGAATAATTTAACAGGAGGAACCTTATGTTTTCTTTTGGAAGCAATGTTCCATCAGATGCATGATGAATTAACCTCAAATTGTCAAATTATACACACATGCAGGGGCAGAGGGAGGAGAGTTGGAGGAAACGGAAATGTTAAGAAATAAAACATTCTAAAACACCAGAATAAGTTAGCCTTTAAGATGTCACAAGTCTTTTTATGAAAAGATGTGCAGTAAGGTCCAAATAAGTATGAAACATTCAACAATGGGCTAACAATTCTGATGTTGCAAAGATACTTAACCTAAACCTCTGTTTTCAAGAGAAAGCCACTTTCTACTTGCTAAATAGGCCGTTTCTTACATTTTGCTCTTGTATCTCTAACTCTTTAAAAGACTGGTCTTCTTCAACATACTTTTGGCCAAAAAACTGCCAACCTGAGAAGTTATTCCGTGAATACATAACTCCAAGGCTCATTCATTACTTTTTCTCTTGTGTCACTCAGAGTTTAACCGAGATACAGTATTTCAGTAAGCAAATTTCTTGACACAGTGGGTAGCTTGCGGCTCTCCAGATCTTAATGGACTGCAATGCCCTCAGTCCTCACTAACATGGAGGGAAAAAGGCAGCTCTACTTCCACAACATCTGGAGGGTTACAGGGCCTCCTGAAGACTGTAACCTGCTGTTAACAGATTTGCAACATCAAATAATTACAGATGGGATCAACAGATGATTAAGAGGAGGTTGAATGGTGCAAAAATCTTATAAAATGGGCCCAAGAATGCTTTCTACTAGGACTAGTGCCCCACAGATACTTTGGACTTGTTTATCTATATTTCCCTAATAGACTTAGCTTGCATCCTCAACCATCAGAAAACATCCAAGAGACCTGAGAGGTACCAAATCAGCACAAACCATGACTGGCTGTAACCCGGAAAAGAAAGGACCACAACATTAGCTGCAATAGCAAATTGGGACTTGCAGGGTCAGAGCCGTGTAGCCTCTGGATACCAGACAACGGTGAGAACCGAGAGGAAAAGTGGGAAAACAGCGTTATGGCCATGCTTTCTGTGCAAGCTGATGCAACAGGAGTCTTGTTTGCTCAGCTTGCCTCTCTCACACAAGCACACAACTACACAGGGAACCAGTGTGGCATAATGGTTAGAGTGCTTGGGCAGAACCCCGGAGGTTCTAGCCCCCAATAGGCCAGGAGCTCACAGAGGGATTCTGGGCCAGTCACAGATTATCAGGGTAACCTACCTCACAAGGTGGTTGTTGTGAGGGGAAAGGGGAGAGGAGAACCTTGCAAGAGAAGCCAAGGCGGGGTGTAACTGTAACGTAAGAACAGCAGCAATAATTACTCCCCCTCCAGTGGCCAGTGAGGCCAAGCTCCCCCCGCCGGCAGGAGTGACACTGGCGCGCGCGCGCACTCACAGCCTTTCGCCCCCCGCCCCCCACGTTTTTTTTGCTCCAGGCCCCCGGGGCGCCGCCACCCCTTCACGGCCAACGCGCCGCCAAGCGGGTCGCGCCCGTGCAGCCGGCGAGCAGCCAAGGTCCTGCGAAGGCGGCGCTTCCTACCTGCGGCGTGGAGACGAACGTGGCGTGGCGGGGCGCCGGGGCGGGCCTCCACTGGCAGTTTCGGCGAAGCGGGGCGGGCGCAGGCTGGGCTGGGCAGAGTTCCTGCCTGGCGAGCGCCGGCGAGGGCGCGGATGGCTGTTCCGCAGTCGATCGCGACCTTCCGCCTTGCTTTCTTTGCTCGGCAAGCGCGGCTTGCATCGGAGCAAGCGCGGGAGGCCGAGCACGAGCCGCGAGAGTAGCCGCTTCCCGCCGTGGAACCGCGCCTTCTAGGGGCAATCCGATGCGTGGAAGGGCTAGGCCCACAACTCCCAGCATTCCGCACTATTCTGTCCATTAATAAAGGGTCAGCCAAAGGGTCGTGCTTTTCTCGTTCTCATGGCATGAGTGCCAGAAAGGCTTTTGCAGTTCTACGGAGTCCCCACACTATTTGCGAAGGGAAATCACTCTTAAAGAGGAAGCATGCAGTTCATAAATTTGAAGGCTGATACATAAACTTTATTTCGGTCAAAGACCAGCTCCGTTCAATAAATGCATACGGTAGATTTAAAAAGTTAATACATAAAACATATTAAAACCCCACTCAGATTAACAAATGCTTCAACACAATATCTGTCATCTTAAATTGGTGACAGTCCCAGACTTTGTCCTTGTTCGACTAGGTAGAGCCACAGTCCCCCAGGATTTGTCTTGGGACATCCATCGGGGCCACAAAGAATTTGGCGACACTATGTTACTGTCGGGTTAATGTCAAGCTGCAATATATGAATATATTGTTGTTCCATACTGCCTGGGAAGCAATTCATCAGTGGGGAAATGAGTGCAGTGCTAATATCCCTGTAAAATGTGCACCTCAGCAAACATGCTCTGTGGTTTCTATCTGTTCCATTGCACAGGGGCAAAGGAGCTCTGACCAGGGGATCTTTTTGTACGGTCCCTCCAAAACTGCTGAGGGGAGTCCGTTAAGGTGGACCAAGGAAAAAGCCCTTCTGTGTTTATGGAGTTCCAACTGTTTGAGATATGGTGCAGCTATTACAATGTGTCTGTAGTCCTCCCCAAGATAGAATTCAGGGGCTAAATTGAGATCACTTTGTCTTTCAATATCTGTAATATGCTGCTTGACGGTTTCCATTGCCTGTTCAAACCTCATGTTTAGTACAGTCCACAGGTGAAGGCCCAAGAGGGCTATTTTCTGCTCAATTGATTTAATCCAGTTGGATTTGAAGTCATCTTGCAGGATTAGTGGAACAAGGCCAACTGGAAAGTATACCAATTTGAGCCAGTGCACAAGAATGGTCCCCCAGATCCTGGCTTCAGTTTGGATCTGACCCGTCTCCAATCTTATCTTTGCATTGGAGACGTCCCTAGGAATACCCGGTATTGCCCTCAGAAATTTTGATTGGACACACTGTAGTACTTGGGTGTTCGGGAAAGGCCCCAGTTGAGATCCATACAGTAGTTGAGATAGTACTTTTGCTTGGTATAGTTGGAGGGCTAGGGGGCTATAATGGCCACCTTTAGATCTCATGAACTGTATTATGACTGATGAGCTTCTCTGGGCACTTAATGCCACATATTCGCCATGGGTCTTCCTGGAGTCATTTGCTTGTAGGTCTACACCCAAATATTTGAACTGGGAAACCTGCTCGATCTTGTGCTGATTTATCTTCCATGACCAAGTTTTTGGTCTTCTTGCAAAGGTCATGATTTTTGCTTTTTGATAATTGATTGTCAAATCTTCTTCCTTGCAATATTTCTTGCAGTAATTTGAAGGCAGGTAGCCTAGCATACAATCAGCAGGATCATTTTGCCCCTGGATGCAATCAGACCCTTGTTCAGGCAGCCAGAACGAAATGTATATTATTTTTATTTTTATATTTACACCTTAACTTTTCCTTTTGCAAGGAACCCAAGGGAACTTACAAGATTCTCCTCCTCTGCGTTTACTTCTTACAAGAACCCTGTAGGTTAGATTGAAATGCCATGAGTGGCCCAAAGTCAGCCACTGAGTTTCACTGCCAAGTGGGGACTAGAACCCAGATCTCCTGAGTCCCAATCCCATGCTCTTAACCACTACACCACAGTGACACATATTAGACTAGGACGATTTTGACAAAGCTAGAATAAAGCAAACGACACACAAGTCATCCTGGTTGAGCTCAGTAACAGGAGTGCAGCACAGGAAATGGGAAGAAGGCCAAAGTGAACTTGCAAACATCAGAGAACAGCTGCACACTGCCACCAGAGTCGTCTTCCCCAACCTGGTGCCCTCCAGAAGCTTTGGGCTCCAAGTTCCATAAATGTACACAGCGTGATGGATGTGCAAGGATGCTGTGGCTTCTAGTTCAAAATACCTGGTTCAGGAAGGCAGGCCTAGAGGCTTTCTGCCATGCCAGTACACAGACTGCTGTCAGATATGATGACATATAAGCCAGTGTGGAAAACTGCCTGCCTTCCTGCCCGCCTTAGTGACCTTACATTAACCTTTGAGTCAAACGAGTGTATTTCCTCTCATTTTAATTATATTAGAAAGATTCCCTATCTCTGAATGAACCCTCCCTCCTTTTACAAGAGAGTGTTTCTCATCAAAATATAAATGCAAAAGTAAACAAGCACATGATTTAGCTTTAGGGTTATTTTTCTGAGATTATCCTTTCTGATTAAAGCCTTTTCTTTCTTTTTCCTTTTCTTTTAAAGAAGCAGGCAGAACAGAGATCTCCACTGAGATAAGGATAATTAACATATATCAAAAGGAATATCCTGGACATCAGCTAGATTCAAAGACAGGATGTGGCCATGTGTTGGGGCACCCACAGCCACGTGGTATGTGAAAGAATTCGTTGGAAAACACAAACTTTTATTATGACTTGTTATACTTTACAAACCAGAAACAAATTAAAATTGTTTATGCCTGTCTAGTGGCAGACTGATCAGTCTTAAGTATAGAAATCCACTGGGATCAAGTCCAGCCCTGTTAAACTAGTGGAATAGCCACTTGATGCAATTATTTTCTATTCCCAGATGGGAGAGGCAGCCAAGGCAGGGCAGAGGAATTGACTCAGGAATTGCCACCTAATACAGCCAGACAACCTGCCAGTGTGGAGCTGCAATGCACCACACATGATTCCCACATACGCACACTCATCCACCCATTCCTGCCTGCCTGGGGGCCCAAGAGAACAGCAGCAAGTTGTTTCCCATGTGATTAGCCTGGTAATGTGGGGGTTGTGATCAAGATGTGGTGGGCAAGAGAGGGAGGTGCAGTGGGGTGACGATGCACCAGTCAGCAGCCAGAGTTGCTGCCGCATTGCATCGTGCAAGGAGGGACGTCCACAGAAAGAGTGTGGCTGAGAGGAAGGGGAATGCAATGAGTACTCTCGCCCATCCTTTTTGCCCCTAGGATGTGGAGAAGAGCTTCCGTGCAGAGGGCCGGCTCACACAGCCTTGCACTCACGGGCCCTATCCCTGCAAGACCCAAAAGACTAGCCTGCACCCTTGGGGGCTGCACTGGGGAGGCAGCTGTGGGCTGCGGATGGGGGCATGTGCTTCCCCCATTCTGCCCCATCCCAGGGGTCTGCTAGAGGATGGATATCTGGCTGCTGCAGCCAGACTGCAGGCATTTTCCAGGAGGGTGTCTGCCTCACTCCAGCTCCTCCTGCAGGTGGAAGATCGGCCAGTTAGGATTCTTTGCAAATTCATTGACACTGGCCTAGTTGGTAAGTCCCACTGACACAGCAAGGTTGACCTCGACATATGCATGTACAGGATTGCACCCTAGGGTGTGAGCTAGTACGCCACCATTTCAGATCGCAGCCCATTCTCAGCCCCACAGTGGCTTCCCTACCGTGCCACAGAATTCAGTGAGGTTCATTATAGAGTATATATGTAGAGAATAGGGATGTATGTTCGGGGCTGTGTGTAGGGCAACATTCATGTCAGCAACATACAAGCATCCTGCCCATCCTATAGTCTAGCCGAGGAACAAATTCTGCTTGAGCCTGGAGAAAGCTGTTCCTTTGCTCTGTTTCGGGAACAAATGGCCACAATGTCTGGATTTAGGAAATGTAGGCAAAGTAATTCAAATTTTATTATCAAGATTGGGTTCTTCCTGTCAGATTGTCAATAGGAACTCCTTTCAGTTAGACAACTTTATTGGAATGAAAAATGGTAATGGCATGATTTAGTAGCTGTTCTGCTATAAACTGTGCTAACCATAAGCCACACAATCTATACGTGCTCCTGAACAAATTGAACAGCCATAACTTACAGCAGGTGAAAAGAGCTTTATTGGCAAGCACGCTGATACCGGAGTACTAAGTAGCAGCAAGTACTGCTTCTCCTCTCTCTTCCCCTCACTCCCAGAAGGGATAAACTGTAGGGATCTCACTGGTCTGCCCCCTGTTGCTTGGCAAGTTTCATGCATGGGTACCAGTGGCGATGCCACATGTGAGGATGTGGATTGAAGGTACTCACATGCCAGCTCTTCCTGAGCTTCCAGCTTCCCAAAGAATGTGGAGAGGATAGAACACCTGATTTATTGGCAGTGGGAGGAAGGGGGTGGCACTGGGGTTGCCCAGGTCTGATCAGTGATTCAGCCAACCCCGGTTTTTGGGCCAGGTGGAAGCTGAGGATGCCCATGTACCTATCTCTCATGCCGCCCAAGCAAGAAACACCACACTTGGAGAAAAACAAATTACAAAATTTACAAGAAAAGCAATTGAGCATTGTGCATTCATTGGAAGAACCCCACACCAGTTATTTTTAATGTAATAGGCACATTGTGGGTAAGTGAGCAGTCAGGGGCAGCTTAATTTGGAAATCATTAAGTGCCAGTTTTCCCCAAATTGACCAACAAGAATCTGATATGTACCTAGAACTCACTTTGTATAACAATGCTATCATGGAGCCAATGACAATGTCTTCTTAATAGTATCTCAGGCTCTTGAGTTTGGTTGGAACTCATCATACCTTTGGGACTGTTTATTTCTGTCTAACAGGAATGCACAATCTTTTCAGCCCGATTGGCCACCGGCACACACACACACACCAACAATTCTGACAAAAATAGCTTTGCTGGTGTTGGGAAAATCCAAATAAATCTTTTATAGAGAAAGGTTCCTTATATATCCCTTCATGATATAAAATCAAATCTGCAGTGGCGCTGCTTCTCTTGCCCAGAAAGAACCAGAATTCCAAGCCAGGCTCTTTTGTTTCCCTGAAGCTTTATTAGTCATCTGTCTCTTTAAGAGACTGAGACTCTCCACTGGCCTGAGACAGCTGCTACATTTAGTTGCAAAGTTAAGCTGGTTATGTTTTAACCTTGGGCATTTCACTGCATTGAGGCCTTGGCTCTGTTAATCTGCATATTGGGCTGCATCAAACAATCCTGAGTAGCCTTCTTGCATATCAATACCCCCACTCAGACCCTGTTATGATCCATGTCCCTTTCTCTTTGCCATATCAATATTCTGTAATCACTGCTATTTCCTTTATCATGAGGTCATGTCCCCTCTGCAGCTTTCTCACATTGTTTTGACTATAAATACATTAGGTACCCATTTGTCCCTCATCATCTGCCCTGTTCCTGTGTATGTGACTAGAAACCTATGAAACGGCTTCTTTGTAAGCCATCCAGAGACTTTTAGTAATGGGACAGCATATAAAAAACTTTAAATAAATAAAACACTCTGTGTATGTTCTGGAAACTTGAAGCTGGTTTACATACCTCTACCCAGCAGTGCTGTTGTAGGTTTGTCTCTGCAGAGGGTTTTTTCCTGGATGTTCTTACCAAGAAAACTGCTGAGGTTTGTAACACAGAGGTCTCCCCAGGGATCCAAGTGTACATTCCTGCAGGCTGCGAAACCAGGATTCCCTGACCGTGGCAGCAGTGGGGAAAGAGCAATCTGCATGAGGATTGTCTGGGGAGGGAGCAAGGCGCCTGCTCACCTCTCCTGGAACAATCCTAAAATTCTCCACTCTGCTCTGCGCCTTATGCAGGTTGCTCTCCATCACGGAATCAACTGGGACTATCCGTAAGAAATCAGAGGTGGGCTGGAGCGAGGCTGCACGCCTGTCTTATTTAGCATTTGAGCCGTTGACATGGACCCTTGGTCCGATCCAGCATGGCTCTCCTCACGTTCCTGCGCTGCATATCTTAACCGTCAGACCCTGGCTTTATGTTGGCTTCATTTTATGTGATACATGCTCTCTGCCACTAGAGGCAAGGGTGATCATCTCTAGCGCTGCTGTAGGGAACAAAGGATATATGAGGCCTTCACTGCATTGTCCATTTGAAATCCTACAGCTGCTCAGAAATAAAGGTAGAGTTCAGGCTACATGTATCAAATACACAGCCACTGATCTTTGTTGTCAGCTTAGCTAGTTCTATATTCTCCTAATATCACATCAGATCATGAAAGCTCAAATTACAGAACACTTCATTTTTAAAAAATAGATTAGCGATTCTAAATCGCTAATCCTTCTGGGGGGATTAATCCTTCTGGGGGGACCCGAATTCAGTCATAGAACCTGTTTTGCATGCCGAAACTGCCCATGTTCATGCCCAGCATCTTGTTACACGATGTGCCTTTGTTGGAGCCATGTACAGACTCCCACATGTTTCGATACCTGGGCTTATAAGGTACCACATGGGTGAACAGAGTGTCTATGGCTAATTTCCACCCAAAGAGATCACTACTCAGAAAGTGTTCAAGAGGGTAACACCACGGGGCATGTTTAGTCAAGTTTGCAGCATTTGAAGTGCACAAGTTGGCCTGGGGGCAATTAGCTGAGCAAAAGTTGTTAACATTGACAGCAACCAGGGATGCTCCACCCTTCACCAAATTATGCTTAGATGGAGTTGCATCGCTGGCAAAGCTGGGCCCCAGGCCTAGGAGTAGTTTGGAGACTGTGGGAAGGAGTCTTACCCAGGCTTGTGAAGTATACACCGAAGGGGAAGAGGGAATGAAGGCTAGATTAGGAAAGTTAGATAAGGATCAGAGAAAAAAGAAGTGAGAATTGGGGGAAGATACAGCAATAATGTATGCTTTGCCGGTAAAGCTTTATTAACGACGGAAAGCACCAATGGATTGAAACGACACCTGATAAAAGTGAAAGAATGAAGTGCAGAAGCAGGATTGCAGCTGAACATTAATGAAAATCATGGCTATAGAAGACTGTTAACAATGAAGATATGGAACTGGTGAAAGATTTCACATACCTTGGCTCAGTTATCAATTTGAAGAGAGACTGCAGCCAAGAAATATGAAGAAGACTGAGACCTGGAAGAGCAGCAATGAAGGAACAAGAAAAGATCGTCAGGTGTAGCACACACTATTGTATTCGCATTCACTTATGTGCACATAGAAAGCTGGACATGAAGAAAGCTGACATGTATAAAAATGGATGCATTTGAAATGCAGTGCTGGGGAAGAGCTTTGTGAATACCCTGGACACCAAAAGGATGAGCAAGTGGATCCTAGATCAAATCAAGCCCCAGAAGCAAAACAGGTGGTACTGAAGCTGTTGTACTTCAGACACATCATGAGAAGGCAGCTCACTGAAGAAGACAATCATGCTAGGGAAAATTGAAGGCAGAAGAAGAAAAAAATAACATATGAATTGATTCCGTAAAGGAAGCCACAGCCTTGAGCTTACATGAGGTGAGCAGGGCTGTGAAGGACAAGATATTTTGGAGCGCACTCCTCCATAGGGTTGCCGTGAGGCAAAGATGACAGTGCATAGCAAGAACTGTCAAGATACACACTAGTTCCAGAAGGAGATAGTACATTAAAGCTTCTTACATCCAGCAGGTCCGAGTTGCATATTCACTTGCATTTAGAGACTGAAATCTATTGTATATGCTCCAAGAAAGCATTCTCATACTACTTACAGACTGACAAACTGATGGGACTCCAATATACTTTAGAAACTTGTTAATAGGGTTCTCAGTTGCATTCTAGTAAAGGTATAAACACCTGTATTTACATTTATTTGTAAGTCCCATCCACACAGAACAATGGAAAGATAAAAATGTTTGCCACAAATACTATACTGCCAAAGGTTATCAGGTAAAAGAAATGTTTTATCGGGCTAAGGCATGATGGTACCTCACAGCCTCTGGGGAAGCTCTGGAAATCATTACATGTACAAGTTTCTTTTTAAAAAAACTCTTCTATATTGGAAAAGCTCAGACACAGATCTTTTCCGTAAGTTGAAGTACTTCTCTGCATTTTCGTTAAAAATAAGATGGCAGTCCACTGAACTATTTATGTCACATTCATGCACACAGTGTGACAAAATCAACATCTCCACTTTGTTAGATCTGTGCCTAACAAAAACCTATCATAGCTTCCCATTGCATGTGCATGCACTTAAGCGGACTATGATTTTCCTATGTGAAAAGTCATGTAGAAAAGTTTTTCAGGCAGAGGTGCTCAATGCATTGTGCTTACACATGGGAAACCAGAGGTTACTCAGTGAACCAAAGCAGAACTCTAATTACAATCCCTAAAAGCATGGAAGTTAGTCAACCGTGGTACATGTATTTATACACTCCTTTAAAATGTCTGCCATATTATAGTATTTTCCCTTGATTTGTTAAATATACATTTTTATATGTTGTTTTATTGGACAGGTTTGATGTCACACTGCTATTAGAGAATCAGAATCAGAGTTGGAAAGGGCTGTTCAACCCATTAGAGGAATCCAGTTTAAATGGACCTGGACAGATGCTGCCTAATCCCTGCTTGAGGGACTGCAGAAGGGTACAAGCTTATACCAAACCCCTACATAAATTACACTTCTTGTGTGGGGGGATCTATTTCATTAATATTTAATGTACCACAAATGGGACATCAATTTAATCCAATGTAATATTAAACACAAAATGTTTACTAATTTGAGAAAATGTTTTTAATATCAAAACTGAGATGCATCCAAGCATGAATTTCTCTCTTTGGCAGGGGTATAGAAAATGCATAAATTAAAACAATGTTACTTCATTCATGTACAGTCATAGCATTTTAAACACACCGTTGTCTGTAACAGAACATCAAGTATTTGATTTTATTCCATTAAAGTATAACCATTCAAATTTCAAATGCACAAGGTAAGCACTGTCAAAACCACACTGACAAACATAACAAAGATACTATTTTTACAGTACTAAAATGTGTCAATTGTGAAAGACGCTTTCTAGGATATCAAAGAACTCGTGAGCGAAACACACATGAAATACATATTCAGAACCATGTTTACTAGTGTCAATAAATGGATACTACTGCACAAAGTAGTAAAGAACATAAGGTACTCTGACATTAAAGGTACACTCCTATGCATGTTCAGACAGAAAAAATACCCCACAACTGCCAGCATTCCTCAGCTGGCCATGTTGGCTGGGGAATTCTGGGTGTTGTAGGGCAGATCAAACAGTACTTTTTTTCAGTGTGCTGAAATCAAAGGCACAGTTTGCAGAAAAGTATGATTTGACTTGAAGAGGTAAAAAACGTTTTCCATGTGTTGTTGCATGGCATATAGTGCCATTTCATTAAACTTCTAAAAGCTGGTTCAGGAACATGTATGAAAGTTTTCCTTTGTTAGAACTCAGTTGATCAAATCCTGTTCAGTTTAGTGACAATGAGTACTCTCACAGTCTGGTCAAATGAACTACAAACGCAGAGACCACTTTTGTCAGGACTCCAGTCAAGACTAGAAATCGGTTGGGTTGACAATGTCACATTCTGGAGGAGGCTAACTGAACCTGCTACTCCCATCTCGGTTCCCTCTGAATCCTTCTTAGAGCGTTGTGCAGGATACTCACTAGGGGAAAAGAACAAACAAATCTCGTGCCATAAACAGATACCATGTACATTTGCTACATCTAATTCCACATCTATTTCATGTTCCTTTTGCCATTCCTGCAAAGAATTAAGGCTGGCTTACAAGGCTGGTCTCTCATTTGATCCTCACAATTCCATGAGGTCAGGTTAGACTACAGGTCACTCCATTAATTTCACAGTCGACCTTCCACAACAGCTTTCTTTACATTCAAAACCAACCCTCCAGCAACAGCAGCTTACTTCTTCTCTTCAGAAAAAAGAAAAGAGGGGAAAATCTGTGCAGGATGCAGAAGACATCAACATTTTAGGACTAGCAACTTAGACAAAAACTAAGGAGGAAACTAGAGAGGAAGGCGCTCTTGATAAGTGTTCTTAGCTGAGCATTCTTAATGTTAAAAGGTTACATTTCAGCGCACGTACAGTCAGTATTTTCATTCAATACAGCCATTTGTAAAGGCTAAGCCTCGGCCTCACCCAAGATCAGAGGGGACCCGTGATTCTGTTTGGAGAGGAGGTCTTTTCAAATGACAGCTGCGCAGGAACAAAGAAGGCTGGAGTAAGAACGCATGCCATCATTCCAGTGCTGGAAACACCCAGTAACTCTGCTGTCACTTTCCCAAGTACTACCTGAGTTAAGATTAACCACCCTGCAATGGGGGGAACTAAGGCTAGATCAGCTTATAGGATCTGAACTAAGCAGAGAAGGACCAAGCCACAGTAATTATTATGTCAAGGATTTGTTCGGAATATGAGTAAGGCACTAAGCACTCAATAATTTTTCATGAAGTTACAACATCTTATAAAAGCAGCAGAAAAAACATAAAGCAATCAATAGTATGTTTTCAACACAATGTTCTGGATCCAGATTTGGTCATATTTAAGACCTACTTATTTCAGTGGATCTACTTTAAGACAGACCACATCTGGATCCAACCCATTTCAAGTGGTAGCAACATCTCTGTGACAAGTTTAAATAAATATCTACACCCAAAGGACTGGAGCAGATGCAAACTAAGCCAGCTACCAGGGAATACTTACTGCAAGCTCTCCTAGGCAGGAAAAGCTGCCTACTTATCTATAGAGCTTCCATATAACCACATATGGTGTTTGAAGCACACAGAAAAGAGTCATCTCCCCCACACCCCATCCCCTGCCCTTGCTGGAAAATTAAATGCTTACTATTTCCAGAGATGAAGGTTTCCAGCTCCTCCACTAGTCACAAAGACATCTCTGTTCTGTGGAAGGTGCCGGACTTGCCACATGGTAGACTTGTGGGCCTAACAGCAACGTGGAGCAAAAATGGACATAAATTAGTCTAACGATTTCTGTTAGATGTAAATATGGCAAACATTTATTCTTGGGTATTATCACACTTGTTTACTGTTATATGTTAAGTTATACTCTTACACGGAATGAGTCAACCTGAAACGCCAATGAAGGATATTAGATAATAAAAATAACAAACAGGATCTGTTTGCTCTACACAGCCAGCGGCCTGTGACAAGCTAACATTATGCACAAGCAATCCGTGGAGTGGGGGGAGTGCTGCAGGTACAGTTGCCATGGTGCTGCAGTCTCTCTACATGCACTGCAGCCTTCTCTGAGGTGTAGCCCTGCGCTCTTCTGAACTGCAACTCCCAGCATCCCCGATGACTGACCATGCCAGGAGGGCCAATGCGACTGAATGTGTGTGCTTGAGCACCGCCCAACGCAAAGGCAGCAGAGACCCTGGCTGATGCTCCGCCGTTCCTAACATGGCATGATATGCAAAAGGGTGGGCGTACCGCTTCCGGGAAATGATCAGAATGTTTTTAAAAAAGGGAGAAAGGAAACTCTACAAATGTACAGTAGTTTCTAAGATTCTATCTATGTATTAACCAACGTTTAAATTTGATGAATAGATTTGTTCATCAAAAAGATTTCCTTAGTCAATCTTAGATTATAGTGGGATATTGAAGAGAAAAAAATCTCCCAGGAACATAGGGCTCCTGTTCCTTAATGTATCTGTCCCACAAACATTGTTTGCCTCTTCCCTGTGGTGTGCAGGGACGTTAGAAAAACTTTCATCAGAACAGTCTGTATTTTATACCATACCTTCTCTGAAACGGAAGCAAAGCCTTTTGTTGGATGCTGAGTTCTCAAGTCAAAAACATGAAACTTCCCTTCAAGTGATGTGGCTACCAATTTGTTCATATTTATATCTTTCCTGTCAAATTCAACACTGCAAACCTAGAAATGCAAAGCATGCATTAGCTTTCAGCTGAACCATGAGACATTACAGTGCTGTGCAATCCTAAGTAAAGCAAGTCCCATTAAAGTTAGACTGAAACCAAACAGTCCAGTCTTATGCAGAGTTAGAGATTGCTAAAGATTCAAAGAGTTGCTTTTGTAGCTGTCCTTCCAAACCTCCCTTCCAACCATGGAGCTAGGGTAGATGTGAGGATTTCCCTCTGCAGTTGTACTGCCCTTCAAAGGCATTCTGAGCACCAAAGTACAGTAGAACCGCAGGAACAACTGCCAGTTGATGAGACTGCAGGAAGGCAGGGGCTCATCATGACCACCAGAGGGCAGCAGAGTCCATACCATGGTGAGCACAGTTGTGGACTCATGATGGCAACCAAGAGGTAAACTACCCCTACTGGGATTCCTGAGTGTGTTTCTTCTTTATGGGAGATGCCAATGTCATGCTCTAATCTATTTTCTATTCTTTTCCTCCCTTTTCTTTTTTCTTAGCTTATGATGTCCTGTTTTATATTGTTTTAATAATTGTGGTTTTATTACTGTATTATTGTAATTTTATATTATGTAAGCCGTCCTGAGCGCTTGTCGTAAGGATATAAATGTTTGTAACAAACAAACAAACAAACAGGTTCTGAAACTCTCTGCAGTTTCAAAAGTCCATTGCCAGGGGCTGCCATTTGAAAAACAGAAGTCCATGCCTTTCCATGGATGCGAGGTCAGTTGTGGGATTCTTTTAACCATGCCGAAATTTTGCGTAGAATCATATTCTTACATATCTCATTTTCTCTGGGTGAATTTACATTATTTAACAGTTCACTGATGGCATGTAGCAAGGATTCCTTCAGAGGCATTTCAAAAGCCCAATCTACAAGAGTAGTTTAACAGTAAAAAATTGTATCTACGGAGAGAAATCATATGGAACAAAGTTCTCTGCCTCTGAGATCTCATTGCTTAGGAAAGGAATGTGGCCATTATCCACAAGGCAAATCATAAATTAACTATCTTAAATTAGACCAATGGCAAAATCACAATGTACTATGTAATTTTTATCATGTGCAGTGTAATCCTCTGGAAGCACTGAGCTTCTTAATTACAAGATATTAAGATTCTGCCATGTCTTTGTGAAATCTCACCCCATTCTTAATGTTGGTCTCCCATCGCAATGACATGTTCTTAAGGTCAAACAACTTGATGTCCCCATTGTCATAGCCAGCACACACAACACGTTCCTCTTGATTATATGCATTGCCTGAATAAGGGAAAAAGGACTACTGTTTAGTTCATCACCATATGACTAAATTTTCTTACAGCAAGTCTACATTCCTACACCAACTTTTTTAGGGTTGTACATCTGTGGCAGGAAACAGCTCCGGAAAGGAAATGCATGAACAAATTTCAGTCTTCCTCTGACCCTAGCGGATATGAAGATATTTCAAAGACGAAAAACTTATCAGCTAGAAAACTTAATGCCAACACCAGTTTGTCTGTCTGTCTGTCTAATTTCAAATTCTCATGTTGCATTCTGTGCCACAAAATAGAAGCACTTGAACTGATGTTACTGCAAAAAAAATGGCAGAGGTTCAAAGAGAAGAGGCAGCAGTTAGAAACTGGTTTTCTAGAAAAAGAAATTTACTGGTTGCATTTCAGATAAAAGTTTTTAAATCTCATTGTGTGCTATGACTACCATGATAATGTCCAACTGATTGCAAAAGGAAAGAAGCAAAGCAAAGCACCTGGAACCTCAATGTCACAACAATGTGAGACTAAAGTGGTGGGAGCGAGACAAGTTCCATGATACACTTTTGTATGCCATTAAGGAGTAACAAGTTCACTGAACTTACCAAATGCTACTGTCCAGCAGTCTCTCTTGCTCTCTCCTTGTGCTGGCTCCATATTGGCAACGGGAATGTCTTTTTGCCTTGGGTCCCACACCTTCACAGTCCCTGCAATCATTGTATTGCATTATTTTCCTACTGACAAAAAGGCTTGTGGCATTCATTCTTCCACTACAGCTTCAGCTCCTTCAATTTGCTTTTTAAGAAAACATTCTTTACTTCTCCTTCACAGTTATTCATATTTATTTTATGGGCAAAAGCCCCAGAACAGAACAGTCTGTTTCCATGTTTTCAAAAGTTTGACGGATAGAGTCTTTCAGCTTTATCCAAGGAACGGTATAACTGATAAACCTAAATAAAATGTAACTCAATTAAAATATTAGTTTCCAGTGCTTGGAAGATGTAATCTTCAGTCAGTGACAGGACTACTCATACTATATATTGATATATTACACAGAGCTGTTTGCAACTGTCTTATGTTCCTCTTTTCACATCATCATGCAAGATATCAGCTTGCTGCAGCCCTCTAATGACTTATGTGAAAACCCCTTTCCATGTGGGGCTCAAAATAGAATATACAGCATATGTAGATCCAATTGCAGTATCCTTGTAACCATATCATATGGCAGCAGAGGAACCTAGAATGTAAAAGGGCTGGCCAATACTGCTGTTACCAAGTATATACTAGCTAAGAAAAAAATCTATGGCATGGCAGTGATGGACTGGACTCATCAGTAAGTGCAGTCTTTATAGCTGGAGCTATAAAACTGTCCTCTTTCACCTCTACAAGAACTGTTACTACTCAGCTTTTATACACAAAAAGACCACTCTGGTCTTCCCCTAACATTCCTTTAACCCAGTATGTTGCTAATATCAACCACTTCACCAAACATCATACAGGACAACACTGCTTCATAATATAAGTTCACTAATCAGCTATCTTAAAGTGACTTGAAACAGAAATCAATACATTTTTATGAGTCCTCAAATATATCTAAACAGTTAATTCGCTTTCCTCTGATATTGGATAGAATCTAAATCTATTAAAAACAAGGTATATACCCACTGAAATCAAATTTCCTTAAACTATTAGTATCTTTGTGCACTAGCTAATGTGGAAAAACTATGTTAACAAAATAAGGGAGACAAACATTGATTCTTAGGGTGAACAATCTGCCCAACTGCAGGGGAAATGGCATTTCCGGTTGCTGGCCAATGAGATGCCGCCAAGGCTTGTCTGTCATAAAAAAAAAATCCCTTACCTGGTGCAGCACACTTTGGTGCTTCTATGAGAACTAGCAGGCTTCTTTAAAATGGACGCACACAACTTGCAGTCCACCCACAAGAAATCCCCTGCCTCTGCTGTGCCTTTTGTTCCAGGCAAGCAGTAGCAAAACATTTGCAGCATTCATCATTTCAGCACTGCTGCAATCACCAGGTGCGCCCAGACAGATTACTATTCAGTCCTCCACTCTGCTGACATTGCAGCCATTGGCATGGTCATGAAATAGGGACTTAGTAAAAGCAACGGGCCACTTCTTTCAGAGAACTGTCAAGAAAATGGGAGAAAGCAAGGAAGCAGGACTGTATCCTTTTGTCCTTCCTCTGCATGTCCACGTGCATCCACATGTCCTCTTACATGTATGCCCATCTCCTCTTACCCCCTTTTCCTACAATGGAAACTGCCATGCAGAAGGGGCTAGATTCCTGTTTGCCACCCCGGAGGCCAGAATCAGCTACACGCTATCTTCTGAGGGAGCAGATATTAGCATTATGAAGCCAAAGCACAATAATGAGTGAAAACAGTTCTTTTAGCTAGATTCTGCAAGCAAGAATACAGATGTAGTCAGTATACTGCTTCTTTTCCAGTAAAATACATGTAACTATTTCTCTAGAAACAACTCTGTTTTAGTGTGCAATCCTAAGGGTTGCGCCCTTAGTAGACAAAACTCTCCCATGCCAAGGCTCCCAAGCATATAATGCCCTACCAGGCTGTGCCCAACATGACAGGAAGAGAAATGGAGGCAATTTTCACCTGTCTGGCCACCTCTCTGTGTTTTTTCTCTACATGTCTCTAGGGCTGCAGTGGCCATAGGATTTCTTGCATCATGGCTTTTCCTCTCCCTTCCCTTCCTAAATCATAGCAGACTTCTTTAGGTTCTTCTGAGACAACTTTTACAACCTCTTAATGTAGGCACTGCAGTGCTTTCCAGAGTAGCTGTGAGAGGAGAGATCTGAAATCAGAACCCCCTTTGAAGGTTGTAGCTGTATCTAAGGTCTTGAAGCAGGGATGCCAAAAAATCCTACAAAGTCCTGGACTCTCCAGGAATCATATAAGATTGAACCATCAAAAATTAAGACTGAACCATCAAGCAATGGAGACTGTATTCCTTCTGGGTTTGTGATAGAACTAAATGGGCTCATTAAAACAAATATCTAAGCTGCCTGATCATAAGACTGAAGAATCAACGTCATAGGAGGCTATTGGCAGCGTTTAACCTGACCCATTTCCCTTTTTCCTCCTGATCAACAGCAGAGCAACAGGGTAAACTCACCATCGCGACTTCCTGTCACAATTTCCGGTGCTCCTTCCCCAATCCTTAAGCCACCAACACCATCAATACTATTTATGATTTCTTCATGTCCCTTTACAGAGTATACTGGAATTTCTGGAGCTTCCAAATTCCTTAATAGCAGAAATGGAACAATTATTTTGTGTTCATTTAAACTAGCCCCAATTTACTTTCATACTGTAGTGGTCATCTATATGATATGAAATGCCATTTGTGAAGAACCAATGTCAAGAAGTTTTGGAAATAAAGATTGGTTATTCAAGATCTTCATTTACCTGAGCCATAAAGCAGCAGAAGAATTTTTTTTTATTAATATTCAACAGCAAATCTGGTTGAAACCTTTTAAAAAGTTCTCTTTTTCCTCCCAAAAATTGGTAGAATTATAAAAGTTTTTTAAAAAATCAATGAAATAAAGATGTAATATTACAGTTCAAGTTCAGGATGTTGGGCTCACAAATACTGAAAGGTCTGATGGTCTTGTTATTTAGTTTTTCTTCAAGTGAGGACTTGAAAAAGGTTGTTTTTCTTAATCTTTCTGAAGCTTTACAATGGGGCCAGAAAAAAAAAGCTAGACTATTAATCAACCAAATATTAGTTACACATCAACATTTGAAGTTTTCTGTTAAACTCTACACAGAACTGTTGACACCAAATATGATTTTTGCTACTTAGAAAAAGAAATACTCTTTCTGCCTATAGTTTATGTTTATTTTTAAGCTTTACCTTGTAACAGTATACATTAAAAAGTTTAAGACTAACTCTAGGCTTCTCAAGGACCTTCCTCTAGTGACACCATTAAAAGATTAAAACAAAAAGAAACCCCACACTCTAAGCAGGTGCAAGAGAAAAGGAGAGGATAGACAAATATCATTCTGTTTCATTGTATTCCACCAGTGAAAGACTTCAGAATAGGCTTCTACTTGCATTTCAGAATGTGAACTTGCAAAACCAAAGACTAGTGTCCGAAGAACTACTCTAGGCATTCCCAGTGGAGACAATGAAACCTCACCCATCTCTTTAAACAGTAGGGTACCAAACCGTATCGCAAGCTCCTTTAAAAGACCGCCACAGGGCTGGTTCGAATGTTACGATAAGCTATGCTGTGGACAAGCCACCACAGGTTGTTTGCCAACCCACATTGCTCCTTGATAAACGACTGCCTGCTGGGCAGCTCGCTGTGACTCATTTTTTCCCCGGGGACTTTCTGTGGCCATCCCTCTCATGTCCTCATTTCTATAGCTGGAAATTCTCAGTCCCCTCCTCACTCTAATCATTACCCCTTTTCAGAGCACATACTTCATCCACCACCTTCCACGCTCCCACGCCTGGCTCTTTGGAAGCACACAAATGTGTTTTTCCTTCTTTCCCCACTCCTTGACATGTGCACATATTCACACATCTGCTATGCACAGACTCATCTTGTCAGTTTCCTTGTTGATTACAGACATCTAGAGATCCCAAGCAGATATACGACAGGATAGAAATGTTTTAAATAAAGAAATAAATGCATTAGCTGTCAAGAGAAGCAGGAAAACAATGCGGGGAGACTTCACAAAGACTAATTGTGTGCCCTTGTGCAAAGCCTCCTCTCTCCCCCACCCCCACAAAAGAAAAAAGCAATGTGGGTGAAGTAATTGGTCCAAAAAGGACACACAGGAGGAGTGGAGGGTCAACTACCCCTGGGCAATGTCATGATATCTCTAGTAAGCCTTGAACTAACTCTTGTCAGTACTGGTCCTCCGTGCTTCTGAAGCTTCCATAACTTCTATCCTTCTTTATTCCTTCTGAGTCTCACAATTTATCATAATCTTCAGTAAGGAATTATGAAACAGTGCGCAAAGAATCACTCATAATTTTAAAAAATCCCCCTCAACCTTTTGCAAAATCCAGTAGGCAAATATAGAAACTAGAAAAGAAGGCAGAATGAGACTGAAAAATGCATTGACATGGTATATGAGAAAACCTGAAAAGGTCCTGAAACAAAATGCTTACAGCGGCTCGCTTGATTAGCGTTTTTTCAATGCCCTGATTTGCACAAATGGCTTTACAGTCACATTTGGTATTATTTTCTCCCAGTCCTTAAAAAGTGTTTAGCCTGTGCAAAATCTACTGTGGTCACTTTCCGATATATTAGCTATTTCACTTGACAGCTGTAACATAAAAGGAAATCGACAGGGCAATACACACAGAGAATCTGCATGCTTGTGCGCTTGTGGAAAGCCAGGGATGTTTTAATTAAAAATTGTGAACCCATTCGTGTACTCCTGAAGTACCAGGGGGAAAAAGTGGAGAGCGACTTAGTCCCTGCAAAACGCCATTCCTACATCAGTGGAAATGGAAGGGCAGCTGCTGGCAAGCGGGGCTGGAGGTGGCACTAGCAGGACAAGAAGAGTGGCAAAGGCTCTACTGCCACTTGATAAAAACCACACTGTTGAATTTGCACATCACAACCCACCTGAGAAGAAGTTACCCTCAACAGTCCTAGTATAAACCATGGGTGCTCAGGGGGGCTCGCTAGCAAAGGACAACCACTGCTGCATCTTTTGTGCCACATTTGCATATCCTGGTAAGTCCTGCTGCCTCTAAAAAGCTCAAAGCCCACTGTGGCTTAGCGTGCTGCATTAACCCAGCCAGAGTTTCAAAAGCAGTTTGCCATGTGGCTGACGTAGGAGGAAGGAGAAGGAAGGCAATATTGTTTGAGGGAAATGCAGCCCCTGATTGTGTGGAACCAGTTGTATGATTATGGAATCCAGACAACTTTCGAATTTTAAAACAATGAGAGCAGGTTGGGTGGGACTGGGGATCTGAGAGATCCAGATTCTGCTCCTCACTCAGCCAGGAAACTTACTGGGTTACTTTTGGTCAATCATGGTCTCTCTGCCTAAACTACATCACAGGATTGTTGTTGTGAGGATAAAATGCAGTGAAGGAGAACTATGTAAGCAGCCTTAAGTTTCTCACAAGAGGAAAATGAGGTGGGATAAAAATGCAATTTAATTTTATGAACAAGAGCAACAATAAAAATGTAAGCATCCATAAAAGCGGACAGCAGTGATAAAATTAATTCAACATCTACACATCTGAATCTCTGTATTAGATTACTGCTACCTAAAATCTAAATTTCGCTGTTCTAAAACGATTTGTTAGCATCCTAATTTTGAATGATCTGAAAACAGAATGAAGTCAAGCATGAAACAGGAACATGCAAATTATTAATCTGCAAATCCAGCATTTCTTACCATATATTTAAGTTTCCTCCAAAATCGCCTGTAGCTAAATATCTTTGTTGAAGGGAAGATGCACCAAAGGTTCCACATTTAATAGGCCTTGACTTTTCAATCTGGAAAGAATCAGAAGCAAACAATTTTAGGAGGAATCCTTAACAGTTTTATATCTATTGTTTTGCTCTATCTAATAGATAGTTTCCATTAAAATTAAGCACTGGAAAACAGACTTTTTAAAAATTGAACTTATTACTCTAACCTTAAAATATAAGATGACTGTTGATACATTTTAGCAAAGCATGCATACATACATACATACATACATACATGTGTATATATAAAAACCCAAAAAACTGCTGTTAATAGGAACAAGGGTACATTATATCTTTAGTATGAGTCATGGTTTGGAATTTAATTGGTTTGCCAAGGAACATGGAGTGACGTTTAAATTATAGTTGTTGCAATCATATATGCATTAGCTGGGAGCAAGCTCCACTGAACTCAATGAGGTTTACCTCTTAACTGGGTATGCCCTGAATTGTATTGTCATTGTAATCTAGCTACCATGGTGTCATACTGAATTATCATCTGCCAGAAGGAAACCTTTGGTCTTGGAGCTTTGGGGATCCCTGGATTGTGTTTTTAGAAGCCTGATCCTGACTGTTACCTCCAACAGTTAACAAAGCGTGAGGCAGGTCAAGTGAGTTCTAGCAAGCAGAAGAGAAACAATAATATGTTTTTCAAGTTTTAGTAGACTTCAGAGCTGGGAATCCACACTCTGAGCATGCTGGCTGCCCCTATATGCCTGGGAGAAAAAGTGGGAGAGGAGGAAAAGTGGACACTTCAATGGTCAAGGAGGGGCAGACATTGCAGAGGTCAGGATACCAGCTATCTGGAGGCCTCTCCAGCCTCTGCGGTCCCCTCCCCCATCTTCTAAAACATTTTGCCTAGACAGTGACAAAGCCTGTCCCGTGAAAAAGGTCCTGAGGGTGAAGACCACCTCTGCCACTCCTCTCATCCAGCACTGGAAGAGCTAAGCCTCCAACTTCAGGGACTGAGGATAATCACGGCAGAACTACATCCGAATAGAGTTGATGCTTTGATTATTTGTATAGATGTCTAATACTCTCCCTGATGTTCCAATATTGCAAAATAACTTTTTTTCCTTTTAATTCCCCCTTTATTATTAAGGGCCTAATCTTAAACAGGTTACTCATAATCAACCAGCTGGATTTATTTCCAAGAGTTTACATTCTGGCAACCAGTAAACATAAATCCATAAATCTAAGAACTTAGCACCCTAATTCAAGAAGATCAACAGACCACAAGCCTGGAGCCCAATTTGAATAAATCAAATCAAACCAACACAAGTTCAACATTGTAATGAGTGTAAATACAAGTATAATTCAAAATATCTCTTGCACATTAGCAGCTTGTACTGCTAAGATGTCCTATCATTGATTTTTATAGTGTATAGCCTAAAAAAATTAGTTGTCATGAAAAGATGTGAAATTCTGACCAAAAAAAATTATATGAAAAAGCCTTTTCTTAGATCTTGCCTCCCATCTTCACTTTTATCTTCTTTAGTTTTATATAGCAAATATATATAAAGAACCAGTACCTGTTATTTAGCAATAAGGTCTTGGGTAGGAATGTATATCAAAAATCAGTTTCTAGATTACTGGTATAAACCAGGTTGCTAGTCACTGAAAGTCCTTACAACTAAGTAAAACATTATCATTGCAAGATCTCAGAAGCAGGCGAGCAATAATTCTTCATAATCCATTATAAGGTCAATGTGTTGTGTTCTTGTATTGCTATAGTTACAGCAACCAGTGCTCTGTGGTGTGGGAAGCAGAATGCTGTGTATACAAGCAGTTAATGGTTATCACCATGGTGACCAGCATGGTGCTCCTCATCATTATTAAACCTGTTCTTGATTCCTGAACACTAGCTTGGCAAGTGGTGGGCTAGGATAGAAGAAAAAACACGGCTAGGATGCCCATATATATGCATTTCTTTTATTGTTTGATCTTGATCTGGAACGCACTAATGTGTGTTCAGTTCACTGGAAATTCATCTTAATTTAAATGGTTAAAACTGAAGTTAGCCACCCACCTTCTTAAACTATGTTAGTAATTACAGACCTTCATCCATCTGAAGAGCATTTGTACAGCACTCCAGCCTCAAATTGTTTAGCTGCTACATTTCAGTGAATACCAGTAGTTTTCAAACTATGTCGCACTACAATCTGGAATACCCTTTCATTTGTCAGGCCAGGTCCATTCTGTTTTGTCTCTTGCACACAGGAGCTAATTTAGTTAAGGCTGCAATCCAAAGTGCACTTCTTTGGCAGAAAGCCCCTTAAAATTAAGGGGGCTTACTTCTGAATACACAAACTCAGCCTAGAAGATGCATCTATTTCTGTGCTCTACAGTCTTGAAGAAGCAACTTACATAACAAATGGTAAGCTATTGTACCACAACCTTATAATAATAATATTTGATACAAAATTAAGAACTGAAGGGTGCCATCACAACCTGAAAGCATCAATCTTTCAGAAGATTAAAAAGAATGACTACCTTACTATAAATTTGCACCTCCTTGGCAGAATGATACAGATGACTAGAACTGTTTAGTTACAGTGTAAACACACTGAAGGCCCTAATTCACCATTGTCTCAAAACGATGTTAAAGCACTACAAGTTCTAAGTCAGATCCATAAACCACATGCTTCCAAACGAACTTAACTTCAAATAGGTCCTGAAGTTCAACCAAATTATGGTCAGGGTTTCTACAGAAAATGAGGTGAACTTGGCATAATGGTTATTACTGGCTCATGCTTGTGAAATACATTGATGATGCTACTGCCATAAACACTAACTTGATGGCAAACTGGCCATAAACTATTGACAGAACCTAAGACAAATGCAACACAGTGTAAGAAATCAAGGCTGTGACTGAACTGAGCTCTAATATCTAATCAGCCACCCTGATTTCAAATAATTGACTGTTTCAAGTCTTTTCCAATGATTATCTATATAAATACACACACAAGCATAGACACAAAGAGCAGTAACAGGTTCAGTTTTCATCTCCTAGCAGGCACCAACACAGTTCAACAACTGCAAGGACAGAGGTAAGGTGTGTATTCAAGTACATCAACTAATCTGTGCACTATAGCCAAATACATCTGGAGCAACCCTCGCTGGAGAAGTATGAAATCTTCTAAGTTTTCTGTATAGTGGAGGATGAAAGGGAGATCCCCATCCACAGCTGTGATTCCAGTTGAACCCCTCGCATTATATTATTATGATTTATTACATGAGCTGACACAATACGGAGAATGGATTTCCTAGTGCTAATTCATGGCTTCAGGGACATGTGCTCTGCCTTGTAGGCAGCATGGTGACTACAATCCGACCTAGGTGTACGCCTCACTGAGCACAGTGGGGCTTACTTCGGAGTAAACTTGCAGGGGTTGCTTGCAGAGGCCCCGCTTCTCTAGCGGTCGCTTCCCCCTCGCTCTCCAAGCACGCACCGGCGCCTTGCTGCGGCGTGAGAAGCGGGGCGCCTGCAAGGAAAGGGAGGGCGGAAGGGGAAGGCGCCTCCCAGCAAGAGCCGGCTCCCCTCACTCACTTCGCGGAGGAGGCTGAGGCGGCCGCTCTGCAGCTCGTAGAGCTGGATGACGCCGGTGCCTCGCGGGAAGCTGCCCAGGCAGACGAGGCGGGCGCTGCACGGCACCCACTTGCAATCGAAGACGGTGTAGTTCAGGCCCTGCTGCGTGTGCGCGATTATCTGCGGCTTCTCTAGCAAGTTTGCCGTCGACATAACGCTGCCGCGGCCCGAGTGCAACGGCTCTCGCCCCCTCTTACTCCTCCCGCTCCCCTCCCGCCCGTGAGCGTTCCACCCTCAGCGGCTCCGCGCATGCGCGGCCGTCAGGCAACCCCCAACATCCGGGGCACCGAACCACAGAGATGAGCAAGACGGTCGGCTGTGCCATTCCCGGCTCGCCACACCAACCCCCGCCCCATTGGCTAAGCCGAACGAGAGGCGAGACACTTCCTTCTTCTTTCGAGATACGCCCCCCTCTTGCCAGGGACGCCGGAAGCAGGGGGCATTGGCGGAAGAGCGGAGCCTAACACGCCTTTGTTGCAGGGGGGAGGAGACAAGTGGGGCACAGCCCTAGAGCCAAGAGAGAGCACAAGAACGATCGGTGGAAGTGACGTAAGGCAAGAGGGGACAATTGAGACCAGCTGCCAGGCGGCTCCGCCTCTTCCTTTCGACATGTGCGTGGAGTAGAGGGGCTCTGCAAGTGCTTACAGGCGTCCTGCGCCCGCCGCCGTGATGGAAGTGGAAGATGGGGCCGGTGGGGAGGGCTTCACCAGTGTCCGCAAACGGAAGAGGCGAGCGGCCGAGGTCCCCATGGACACGAGCGGGGGTCCTACGCCCAGGAAGAGGCCCGATTTCCCACCGCTTCGCGGCGAAGCTCTCGAGGTAGGTCATCCCTGTTGCCTCCCGCGCAGTTGCATGGGAAGCCTGGCCGTGGAAGTCTTTGGTGGCGGGTTAGGTGGCCCTCAGCCGCCTATAGACTACTGTAGGTGGACCTCAGCCGCCTGAATCTATTTCCCATAGATTTGAAAGGTGAATGGCAGACGCGTGTTTAACACCTCTGTAGTAGCTGAGGAGCCGTGCTTAGCTGTCGCCCCAAATGTGTATTCCGGTGTCGACTCTCTGTGCGTCAGCTGCTGTACCGAGTGGCTTTTAAGTACAGTTTTAATCTTTGGTCAGATGTACACTGTTTTTCCGCGTTCCTCCCACATGCATTTCAGTGGAATTAGTCGATGAATATTTGTCAAACTTATATGGGGGACTATTAGCATTTATCACCTTTACGTTTGAGCATCTGCTTGGTATTTCTGAAGAGGTTCTGACAGGATGATTTTTCCTGTCTGCAATAAATGTGATGGAAACCAAAGATAATGTTTTAAATCAGTACTGTATAAACATGGATACCAGTTCTAAGGGAAAGTAAAATTCTCTTACTTTAGAAGCAAGTATTTCTGTAATCTGCTAAAAGTTGGGGGAAAATGGATTTCTGTTTGCCATAACCATATATGCTTATTCTTACTGAATGTAAATTAAGGTAAACCATTTTATTTAATAATAGATTAAATGTTAATATTTAACTACTTGTTAAGCAGTTTTGTTTGGATTGCAAATTAGTCTTTTCTTGGTTGTCTCATCAAGGGTGGAAAAGCTGAAATGAGGAAAATTCCAGTACCAGCAAACAGATACACACCATTGAAAGAGAACTGGATGAAAATTTTTACACCAATTGTAGAACACTTGCAGCTTCAGATTAGATTTAATTTAAAAACAAGGAATGTAGAGATAAAGGTGAGTTAGAAGATTTGCTGTGTGTGAAAGGTTATCACTCTCATTTCTGCATTTGCATTGGTTATATGTTGTACCTTAGTTGGTATGCTTCTCAGCACTAAGAATATTTATTTTTCTTTGGTGTTTGCTAAACTCATAATGAAAGGACTTTTCCAGGTTAAATTTAATCAAAACAAAACAGTAGTAAAATAATATTGCAAAATCATAATAGTACAACAACATCTAACACTGTAAAACCACTATACAGCATAAAATATAGTACAGTTTGTATATTTGCTATATTTTCATGCTTCCCAATAAACTGAATCTCTTCATATTCCAAGCAAAACCTACCAGCAGGTACAAAATTTGAATTGCATTACACTGCCTACAATTGTAGACATTAAATACTGAAAAATATTTTGTATGCCTGAGGAAAACATAGAAGTCTTAGCCTGAAGTACAAAAAGTTAAATGAGTTTTCTTTCAGAAAGAAACCCCCTTCTGTTTTTGCCATCTTCTGCATATTAAAATAAGGAGAAGCTTGGAAGAAGAGTCTCTGCAGGATGTTTGCAGTCATATGCATGTGCATATGGGGAGAGACATTCCATCTTAAGTATGGGGGAAGAGAAGGTTCCAGACGGTGCAGAGGATGACCTTTTAGGACTGTGGGCATATTTGGGAATTAGAGAAGCACCACAAATGACTGATCAGTGGATTGCTGCTTTGTTTCTGTCTGTTGCATCTACAGAACTTAGACTGGGTATTTTTCAATAAAACCAGTTCGTTTCATCCCTATAGCACACTACACCGTCTTTTAAATAAGGGATTGTCTAAGTGCAGGTGGGTGGAATACACCTAATGCTGCTTTTATCCAGCAGTGGCTTCTTTTTGCAAGGTTCCCTCCCTCCCTCTCTCCGCCCTGGGACAATCGTTAATATTCACTAATGCACAAGCTTTTAAATTATTTATCTGCTTTATGGAGACTTGAGGGATTGAGCCCATTTATCTCAAAATGCAACATTTCAAGTCAGAAAGCTCAAACTCTGAAGGTGAGCTAGAAGAAGAGGACAGGTTGGAATGTGTTACTGAAATGTCAAGGTTAAATAGTAAGATTAGCTAGATGGCTGGTGAATGCCTGACAACTCCTGGTTCAAGGGGAGACACTGTAGAACAAGGAGGGTCAGAGAGGGAGGGTGGGAGTTCATCAACTCAGTGATTTATTATCAAACAAATGAACAGACAAGTTAAGTAATGTCTGGTGTTCCCACTGGGTGGAACCAGCCCCTTTTGAAGGGAGGAGGGGATTCAGTTTGGAACCATGTCCTGACATGGGAAAACCCTAACTTCACCAATTACAGGCAAATGTATGGAGTTATCTTTTAAAGTGGAGGGAGGGAAGCCAGGGGTGAAACAGGTGCCTTCTTTCTGCAAGCCTTCTTAATACTTACTTTGTCTTCTAGACTTGTAAAGAAACTAAAGACATAAGTGCATTGACAAAAGCAGCTGATTTTGTGAAAGCTTTTATACTTGGATTCCAAGTAGAGGTGAGTGTTCATTTCATCTTGAATAACTTCATTAAAGTGAAATTGAGGTACCCCCAAAATCTAATTGCCTTTGTAGGTATGGGACTTTACCTTGCTTTTTGGATAATTGAATATATATAGTTTAGTAATTTGTAATCCAAATGCAAAATTTGACTCCTCTTTGGCTTTGCCATGAGGTATAATCATGAGTGCTGAGAGATTTATTCAGATGATTTTCAGGCAGAATTTCTGTTTCATCTGTTAATGTGCAGAGTTTCCTAAAGATGGCTCTAGGCTAAATATTTTTAATCAATCCGTAAAGGACCAAATGTGTCCTGTGTAACAGAGTTTCACTTGGATTTTTTTTTGAGGACTGCAGGTGGCGCAGTGGTTTAAACCGCTGCGCTGCTGGTCTGGTAGATCGAAAGGTCGCCGGTTCAAATCTGCACAACGGGGTGAGTTCCCATTGCTCCATCCCAGCTCCTGCCCACCTTGCAGTTCGAAAGCATGCAAATGCAAGTAGATAAAAAGGTACCACTTCAGTGGGCAGGTAACAGCATTCCGTGCACTTCGGTGTTTAGTCATGCCACCCACATGACCACAGAGACTGTCTACGGACAAACGCTGGCTGCCTCGGCTAGGAAACGGAGATGAGCACCACCCCCTAGAGTCAGGCGTGAGTGGACTTAATGTCACCTTTAAGGGGAAACCTTTACCTTTTTATGGTACAAAAGCAGAATTTGGCTAGCAGAGTGGATGTCTAGTTTTTTAAAGCAACAGTGTTCAGAACTAACATTGACAAATTAGTGTTATCTGAATGTCATGCTAATGTCAATATGCCTGCTCTGGAACTTTTATACAAGCTATAAGTAATCTTTCAGATTTTTTTTTCTTTTGGTTTGATGTGCGAAGTTGTAAGTTTCCATCACTCTCTTCTAGGATGCACTTGCTCTCATCAGATTAGATGACCTTTTTCTAGAATCATTTGAAGTAACAGATGGTGAGTATTCCATGTCAGGATATTGGAGCAACTAAACCAAATGTATAGATCGTGTAAGAACTTAAAAATGTTAAGCAGCCTTATAGAATTTATTAATTTTATTTCCTTTTATACAAGTCAATTGTTTCTTGATTTCTGTTTCTGGGACTTGGAACATGTCTTAAAATTTCTGAGATAATAGTATCTTTGTTATCTAACTGACTACTGCAGCAGTATCAGCTTTTCCCATTTTGTTACGCTACCTTGACATGCCTTAAAACAATACAGGGCTATTGAAATATTACTACATTTTTGTTGTTACACAAGATATTATGGATCATCTTTATGAAAGTGGAACTATTGCCCCTCAGTAAAATCTATACAAGAAGCCTTCTGAGAGCATGTTAATATGTCTTTTGATCCTTTCATATGCATCCCCTCACCCGACTTTATTCATAGCAGTCTTTCAGCCATATAAGTGAAAAAATCAATGCTCTCCTAACTTCCCATCACAACTCCAGTTCATGCAACTAAGATGTGGGCATGATTTTAATAGACTACTGCTTTGCCCCCTTATTTATTGAAACAATTCAAATGTTCAGCAAAACACAGTTTTCCTATGCCTGGACCACTTCAGAAAGTGCACAGAGGAATTTAGATCCAAAGGCTTTCCCTGCCTGTGGAAATTAGTGTATACAAGAGAATCCTACTGTAGCCTAGCTTTCTGAAGGTTATAATTCCATCTTCCAAGTGGATTTTTCTCTGAATATTTTTTAATCTCATCTGAGAATGCACTCCTAAGTATTCATTCCAGTAAGTCTCATTATCCTAGATGATTCATTTTGGAATAAGCACTTTACAATATTATCTCATTCTCACGTGATTCACAGTGACCTTCCATCCTAAAGATTAAGTAGATTCGTACATATTCAGCATTAGCAACCATGCAGCATCAGGTGCTCCCAGACCATTCATTGAATGCCAGCATAAACATATTTAGGTCTAGTGTAATGTATATGTGATGCATTAACATGGTCTTTTCTCTTTAGTCAAGCCTTTAAAAGGAGATCATCTTTCTAGAGCAATAGGAAGAATTGCAGGGAAAGGTGGAAAAACAAAATTCACTATTGAAAATGTAACAAGAACACGAATAGTTCTTGCAGACTCGTAAGTATAAAGAAGTGCATCTTCCTTACTTTACTGTAAATTTTGAGGCAATTTTGGCATGCTTTCAGTAAAGGAGAGTTTCTAATATAACTCCATGATTTTGCATATATCTGGAGCCTTCACATATATGTGGTGAATATGATGCATTCTGGATGTATCTTAACAAGGTCTTACATTTGTTGGGTCAGATTTAGTTCTGGAAGACTTATCTTGATTAATCCCCATGTTGGAAACATTTGCATGATGGTTGTCAAAAGCACAGAACATTCTCGAATAGTCTGACAGACCGATAACGCTGCCTTTCAGTACAGTTTGGCCCACTGTATTCTGCGAACAGAATGTTTGTGGCCTTGCTGAATCCTGAGAAATATTGAAGGCATTATTGTAGAGTATTTTGCAGCTTAAATGAATATGTAGGTTAATGTATGCATGGTTTATTTGTGTGCAGCAGAGGAATCCTGTTGGAATACTGTGTTGTCTGAGTGATCCCAATACGTGTATAAATTACCTTGATGGAATTAATTCCTGTTTGCAATTACAGGAAAGTTGGCAGGAAGGCAAACAGCTGTAGTTTAGTTAATGGTGGAATGGTACTGTATTACAGAGTACTACATGAAGAGATAAGTGAAGAATGGATTAGCCCCAATTAAGATGGCTCCAGTGTACTCTGGCAGATGGTGCAGGTGTTACCATGCAATGCAGCAAAGTGGATCTGAAATGAAGTAGATGGGGATAGTAGTATGTCATGTCTACTTTTAATGCTTAGGATTTGTAAAGCAGGATGATCATCTAATTAGTGGCTGAAATCTCTCCTTATATTAGCATTCAGCTAGGTGCTGAAAAGCACTGAACAAGATTGTTGAGTCAGTAAAAGGGGAATACGTGGAAGTATTTTTAAATAACACAAATATATTTCATGGTAAATAATACTTGTTTTAAATTACAGGAAAATTCATATTTTAGGATCTTTCCAGAATATTAAAATGGCGCGAACAGCAATTTGCAATCTCATTTTAGGTAAGCTTAATTTAACAAAATAAAATTTGAATTAAATGCACTTTGTCTTGTGGCTCCTGGCTGTAGGCTATAACTAACTTCACTTCTTCCAATGGTTGGCAAAACTTCACTGTGATAGCTTACATATTTCTTTACAACATGTAAATATCACTTCACATCTAAATAAATACTGGAGAGGTGAATGACAAAAGTGCATTTATGGTGCAAAAAAGTAGAAAAGGTGATAAAGGTAGGCATCGCCACCATAGGCAAATAGGCTTGTAAGCTATGGACTGTAGCTTACAAGAAAGATACTTTCAGGTGGCGCAGTGGTTTAAACCGCTGTGCTGCTGGGCTGGTTGATTGAAAGGTTGCCGGTTCGAATCTGCACAATGGGGTGAGCTCCCATACTCTGTCCCAGCTCCTGCCCACCTTGCAGTTCGAAAGCATGCAAATGCAAGAAGATAAAAAGGTACCACTTCGGTGGGCAGGTAACAGCATTCCGTGCACTTTGGGGTTTAGTCATGGCAGACAAACGCTGGCTCCCTCCGCTAGGAAATGGAGATGAGCACCGCCCCCTGGAGTCAGGCATGACTGGACTTAATGTCAAGCGGAAACCTTTACCTTTATCATCCCTCACCTATACAGCCTATACTAAGGCTAAAGAGAATTGCAGTATAGCCATATCTTGAGGGTCCCATGTTTGTTTGTTATTTAGAGAAATTGAAATGAAATTGTATTCACACTTGTGAATAGCTTTTAAATACTAGTGTTAATGTAGTGTATTTCTTTGATACTCTGGATTTGGGATAGTCGTCGAAGTAATGTTCCCTTCTAGTTGGGGTTAAGTATATCTTAGTAACATACTGCTGCAGAGAAAAGACTGATTTTTTTAGTAGAAAGATGGGATGGCAGCAGTAGTAGACACTTGACTACATAAGCATTGTACAGTGGCTAATTTACACTCAGAGTTAGGATATGCTGCTTTGTAGAAAACTCCAGTGCCATGACTCCTTTTGCTTTTGGTGTGAGCATTTCTTGCAGCTCAAGACTGTCTAGTGAGATGTTCAATTGTTCTAATCGATGATATAATGTATTTATGATCAGTAGTATTAACATATTTCCTTCTTCTACAGGAAGTCCTCCATCAAAGGTTTATGGCAATATTAGAGCAGTGGCTAGTAGAGCAGCGGAAAGGTTTTAAAACCAAGGACTCTCAGTTTGGTGCTATAGGAATTTTTACACAAGAAACAACATGTATGCAGAAGCAGAATCACAGGAACAGACTGACAGCTCCAACATGACTCCAAAGGACAGCTACTACAGTTGTGTTCAAAGCCAGCCATACTGTCAGATTCTTGAATGTATTTGGGTTAACTGGTATGTGTAATAAAAGGTAGCACATGTTGGCTTTCACTCTATCTTGTCTAATGCGTCCATGTTTCAAATTGAATGCATTTTTAGCTAGTAAACCGAGGTTACCAATTCTGTGCAGTGAACTGTGGGCTGCCTGTATTAGAGTTTTGTAGCCTGCACTGTGCTTAAGCCAGCATTTTCCTTTTCTTACTAAGCATGTCTGGAAGTTCACCTCCAACACAGAAACCCATCAATGAGAAATGGATCTCAGGCTGTTCACAGTATGCAGTATGTTTTAATTTCCTGGGGGTTAAACCCCCCCCCCCAACAGCATTAAAAAACTTTTCCTACTGTGTATTTTATTTCCGAATGGAAAATAGTAGACAGGCACAACCTTCATATATGTCTTTTTAATATATTTTTTTGGTTAAAAATCTCATGAGCTGATGATAAAATAAAGAATGCTTTTTCCACTTTCTGGGGAATGTCCTCAGGAGGAAAAAGCTGAGGATAAGTACCAAAGAGATGTTCTTCATTCTTTGGCAAGCAACAAGTCAGCTTCAGTTCAAAGGAAGATAGGTCAGAGAAGACACAGGAACACTTAAAACCAAAATGCAGGTGGGAGCAATGCACCAGTGTATCTGCTCAGGATGCTATCTTGTCCATCCCCCAATGGGAAGACCCAGCATAAGGAGCAGACTGTTGAGGCCTAGCTATTATTCCAGCATCTACTGGAGCCACTTTCTAGGGAATCTTTCTCTTGACCCTGAGAGTTTTATTAGCCATTATCCAGGTACTTTCAGGGAACACCAAAAACAAAAGAATCCTTGTATGATTCCCCCAGTAATGTAACACCAAAATCTTGCAAGCCATAATACCAAGTTCTTATTGTGATTTCTATTGTGATTTATATCCTGCCTTTTTCCTGCAAAGGACTCAAGGCAGCTTACATCATCTCTCCTCCTCTCATCTCATCCCCACAACAACCCTGTGAGGTAGGTTGGGCTGAGAGTCTGTGACTGGCCCAAAGTCACCCAGTTGGCTCAATGGCTGAGCGGGGACTAGAACCCAGATCCTCTGAGTCCCAGTCCCATTCTCTTAACCACTGCACCATCAGCAGGCTAGCTCTTAAAATTTGGGGGACTGAGATGGGGATGCAAAAAGTTTGTTAAATGTATCAACCTGAGTTGTACAATATACTTAAGCTCTGGCTAAACAGTTTCCTCCATGGTTTTGAAAGAGTGGTGGGAACAGCTGACTGAACCAGGGCAGTTGACCCTTTTACTGCTAACTGTAGTGAATGCAAGCTACAGCAAGGGAGCACTACCAAAAATTAGACCATGACTTTATTTACACATTTTTACTGTAAATGAATTCATTTTTATGATGGTTTGAATCGGGGGATTTTTAACTCTTCTGAACTAGCAATGGAACCTGGCTTTTGCAATGGTGAGACTAGCCCTTACTTTGACACAGTGAAAGCAAATAACCACACCTGTCAAAGTGAAGCTATGCTTATTTGTGCCCCTGCAATCAAGGACTTCCTGCTCCATGCCCCGGGGAAGGGGTGGCAAGCCCATGCTAAACTTCCCAGTTTCAAACTGTGGCCTGGAAAACTGTACTGGTTATAGTCATCTGCCTATAAAGGCCGAAAATGCAGGCTTCAAGCACATGAACTTATTAGACACATTAAAATTAATGCATTTTAAAAATCCTGCAGTGTGTACTCACAGAACCCTTTCATATGCATGACAGTGTTTTACAAGCATGGTGATGGATAAACAGGCAACTACTATTCTTGGGTATGTGAAAGTCAGTTGCTCTTGGTGCACCATCTCAAGGCTGCCTAGCTGGAGGAATAGCAGAAGGGGCCTCAGAATGTGAGTCAGTTCCAGATATTAAGGTGAGAGAAGCAGAGGTGCTTATATCAAGGTCAAGCTCTCCAGGTGGGCAGGTAGCCTGGGAATATCCAAGATGCCGAGTTAATGGGAGGGGAGTTTCTCATAGAGAGACGAAACAGGTACAATTCTCAGCCCCATGACCTGACATCGGCAGAGGGCAGCCCAAATAGTGAATCATCATAAAGAGAGGCGGCGTGTTTGCCTTCAGAAGGCCCCTCCTTAAGGGATGGGGCCCAAGCATGCTCATAAGGAAAGTTCTTGGAGGTGTATACTAAATTGAAATCAAACTGCTCGGTGCATGCTCAAATTCATTCTGGGTATTTGTGCATCTGAAAAATGCTTTGGTGAATAAAGAACGTTTTTCAAGAAAGGACTGTGACTTTGTGTGAAAAGCGGAACCCAGCTCACAACAGTTACACATTTCTCCTATGTTCCTACCTCCAGTATACCAAGTACATTATTTGTCCTGAAAATAATTTACAATGTAGTGAATACTCTTGTTTTTCCACCAGGGTTTGGTGTAGTAAAAAACCTCTAACTTTGTTAGTTCCATATTTCAGTTAAGTGCTTGTAAGAATTAAATGTGAGAGTCTGACTGCAAGTACTTGTGCACTTGTACCCCTGGCTTGCAAATAATGCTTTTTTGTATGTACAAAGTGGTGCCCAGCTGCAACAGCTCATGTTCTCTAAAAGCTCAGTGAAGAGTGAGGGAATTCTGGTAATGTGATACAGCACAGATGAAATCATAGATGAGAACACTATCAGAAAGGTATGAAAGTCCATCTTAGAGTTAGGCAAACCAATCTGTATATAGATCTTGCCAGTTTTCAAGCCAAAATCTGTGTTCCATATAATTTCTGTATCAACTGCAACTTACTTAAACTGCACAAGAATTTACATTCTACATTTCAATGCAATTTGAGCCAAAGACCATTGCAAAATTTGGAGAAGCATGTAGTCCTAAGGATTGCTGTTAAAATCCACAAATTAGTCTAGACACTGTATAACTCAGTTTCGTTAAAAATTAAGACCAAACAAGATTCCCCATTTCTAGCCCAAATGCAGTTACTTATGTTTTTAAAGTTTATTAGGCCCCACTATTGGATTAGTGAAATGACATGTAGATCTGTTAGCGTCTGTCCACACCATTCTACTGGTTTCAGGACCAAGTACTCCTATGAATGCACAACACTGATACAGTTACCATTGAGAGAATAAAATAGCACCAATTATTTATGCATACGCTAGAATCAAGTTTTAATTAACCTAAAACTCCATTCTTTAGTTCCATGGAGGCTTAAGCACAATACTATGGTAAAGTTCAAATATTTTATTTTTTATTCATACATCATGAAGGTTCCTATAGTTCCAACATTGTATGATGTAGCATGCAGAGGAAAAACTAAACATTCAAGGTAATCCATTTTTCACACACAAACTAAAAAAGGCTTATCCCCCAATAAGAAAGTAATGTTAGCACTATTTTCTATAACGCCAGCCAGGATATGCACAAGCAATTAAGAAATAGAAAGCATTTGCTAAAATGTTTGTAACAAATACTTATGTACAAAAAATTCACAAAAAGACTAGTTCCCCCTTGAAGCAGAGCACATGGCAGTTGACACTGGAACAGATACAACCACTGGCTGGGATTATAAGCCACGTACTGATCCAGAGGAAGAAAGTTACACGTAGTGGAGATTCTCTGTTTTAACATTTACCAAAGTTTGGCAACAGTATCTTTTTTAAAATTCTGCAAATCATGTAAACAAGAGGAACATTTCAAATCGATCTACATGCAAAACTTCATGTCATGCAAGGACACCAAGCACCTGGATTTCTCTCTCACAGACAGAGCCCATGATGTGCAGCACTCAGTTGAAGGAACAGCTGTGGCAGGCAGGCAAGTGATTTAAAGTTCATACAACCTGCCCCTTCCATTGCTGATTATAAAACCTTTTTAAATAGAAAAACTGCTATATGGGAAAGGGTGTACTAGTCTAAAAAATCTAATGTATTTTTCTTCTAGCCAATAAGTACCATTGCAGAAAAGGAAAGGGATGATATAAAGTTGTATAACATGGCTCGCTACTTTTATATCACACATATCAAGTTAGTATCCATTACAAGTCATGATATGGAAAAATCTAGAAAAAATTCTCCAGTGAAGAACTAGAGAAAAACAAGAGGTATAAATTTAGATAATGTGAAGCTTTCCTCCTTCCCTATGGCATAGGTAAATGTTTTCCCTGTAATAATCCTATATACACATATATAAAATATTACCAGTTTTTCTATGCAACTTTTAAGTACTACATTAAATGAATAAGGGAAACTATATAGTTGGAACATAACTTAATGGCAAGAGAGGCTTTATAGTCTCACTGTGCAAAAGGAATCCTACACAATCTTGTTAATCTTAAATTCTTAAGCTAAGTGCTGACAAAAATAAATGTTTTCAACTGTTTTATCTGTAATTAATGGAACTGCTGATGTTTACTTGGGTATATTATGGGCAACAACACCTATTTAGTATGTGAAAAGATGAAATGGCCATAAGCATCTTGTGCATAAGCATTTGCACACCATGACTAGTTCTTGGCATAAACATTAAATTACATTTTGTCATACTATTGAGTAGAATTCTATTAAAAGCTATCAAGCAAAGATGCAGTGTCTGGTAATATATCAACAGGTATATAAACAAACTTAAGTTTCCTGTCTTACAAAAAAGTAATTAAGTAAATTAACAGGAAGCAATGCTATCTCAGCCAGTCAATATATAAATATCTGAAATAGTCACAGGAAAAAGGAAAGAGTTGACCCAACAACCATTTAAAACTTTACATTCTTCTACTATATATATATAAAATTGTGTGACATAAAAGTAAAGATGTATATCCTTATATTGAACTGTTAATGTTCTGCTTGGCACTTTGTACTCTAGTTTTGTTTCTGAATCAAGTATATTAAATTAAAGCCCACCTAGCTACTACATATAGAAAGCTACATATATATCTATATATAAATACACACATATATATATAGATAGATATTTTCTTGTTATAAAAGATGAGAAAAATAAATTAAAAAGCCAACCCCCTTCCCTTTCTCCACCACACTGATATGCTCTTTCCATCTTGCTGTCCTTCAGACCTTAAAGTGCTACACTTGAGTTATTGAGAGAATAAAAGTTCAATAACACTTAGTTGGCTTCATGAGGCTCATGTTGGAAAATGTGGCTTCACAGAGAAAAATACTTCCATTTAAATACACAGAGAGCGTTGCTGGACGTCTTGAGCAGATCTTCAGAGATGGAGAAGAAAGCAAAAGTGTTGGGTGGTATCCTAAAGAGTCACACATCTACCACCATCTTTTTGTGGATATCTAGGCCTCCTACAACCTGAAATGTTGATTTAAGATTACAAGGTGAGAATTAGAGTGATATTACCACATCAGTTAGAGTAGAGCCCCTATGTACCCACCTCCCACCACAATCTCCATAGCTGCTGCAAGCTGTTTGGGCTGCCAAAAGGTTCATTCAACAGGGAGGGAAGGGGAGCAGAGATGCCAAATCTTTCTCAAGAATCAGTCTGATAGTGCAAATTTACACTCTCCTCTGAATCACAGAAATCTTTAGCAGCATAACAAAGGTGATGAGGAGCTTTTAACCTTGCCCCACTGCAGCGATTCTCCAGGGAACGGAGACAAATGCTTTATTTCCCTTAATAATTATCTTGACAAAGTGCCAAACAATTGTTTGGCAGGCTGGCTGGAGCAGAATGCTGCAGGGGAAGAAAGCATGTGCGGAGTCATCCCACATGTGCCCTGGAGAATATGTTCACTGCAAAGTAGTCTTAGTGGACTCCTTAGAAAGCCACATTAGTGAGAAAAGTACAATTATGTCAAGTAAGCAAGAAGTCCATATCAAGAAGATGAAAAGAAAAGTAGTGAAGGCATAGGATGAGTCACACACACACACAATTCTTTAATAACTAGCTAAGTTATCTAAGTAAGGCATTTGATGGGAAATAACACCAAATTCAAAGTGAAAATAAAACGGAACACTGTGTGTGTGTGTGGGGGGGGGACATTTTGGTAAAAATACACTTACAGCACAGAATTCCTCAAAGGATATTCTTCCATCACCATCTTTATCTGCATTTATTATGGTTTTATCTACGATCTGCTGCAACTGAGTGTCTTTCAGATTGTTCCCAACCATCATCTTCAGTACCTGGAACAGCTCCCCATTTGAGATATAACCATCTTTGTCCATGTCATAAATGCGAAAAGCAACTGCAAGAAAATTAAGAAAAACTCAGTAGCAAATTTGAAATCTGCCAAGATATTTATTCTATTCATAACATCACCCATTCCACTCCATGATTTTCCCTTTACACCCATGTTAACCATTTTCTAATGATGTGGTAATAATGCTTCCAACCTTCTCTGCTCCTTTTCCTATGATCTGTCCTAAGGACTCGAGTACTGGTGATTTAATAAGTTCTGAGCAGCTGAGGGTTCATAAACATTTTTATCTCAGAAGCTGAGCAAATGGTAGGAATACTTCACTAATTACAGTAAAAGCTTTTACATTCTTCACTTAGTGAAGTTGCAAAGACTGAATGTTTGACCTTCTTTCATCTTATTTTGTTAGGAGAGGTGAAAAGAATAAAAGTAAAAACATTTTTTCTGGAAGTCTGTGTTCCATCGGAATTATCTTTCTATAACCATTGTTTAAATGTCCAAAAACTATGCAAAGCTGGCTTGACTTCATAAATAGACTGGTATGCTCCCATTCAAAGTTAATAAAATTACAAGTAAAATTTTGGACCCATTTAGCTGGAAATGTGTCACATTTACTTCCATGGGACTTCTTGAGTACTAAAACCAACCCCACAACATAGTGACACTCTTCTAGGCTAGCTCTAAGATCAAATTTATATCACAACATACATGTTTATTTGCTTGGTAAAAGCCTTAATAAACTGTGAATGCAGTGTTTGATCATGTAAAAATGCCAACAGGAAATGGAAAAGGATTTCCTTATTTAAGAGCCTTCAAATCTAAAATACTCATTGGAGTATGAATATCCTATGCTCCCCCTGATGTCAAAAGAAAAAGAGAATTGGGGTGTTCTGGTGAGTCCAGGGTACAGTTAGGATAGAGGCCAGAATACAGTTAATGGCAACCTTCCATTCCTCACTTAATTAAGGATTAAGTCTGAGTTTCAAAATAGTATCTCTTTACAGATGTCAAGTATGATTTCATGGAGAAACAAAGAAAAGTTTCCAACTATGAATGTTTTATTGACAAACTAGAAAACATAAAATACTTACACCTCAACTTCTGTTCTTTGTCACCTTTGACACTGAATTGGGAGACGCCTTCTATAAATTCTACAGAACATAGACAAGAAGAGCATTTATAACATATTTTACATATCCCAAAATACATTCAAGTTAAATTGTCTCTCCCTGTGGAATTTAGTAATGCTTGACTAGCATCCTCCAGAAATAAGTTTTAAACGCTAATATAGCTTGTTTTGTCTTGGGTGATTTTTTGGTGCCACACTTTCCTGTGAGCAACTTCGGCTTCAATAAAAGCTGGGATTTTCCCAAGTATTGTGAAGAAAAAACTGGTATGTGGTAGATGCAGCTATCTCCTCTCAGAAAGACGTAGGTGAACAGTGACTTTCTCTCTCAAGAAATACCCAGAGTCCCCCAAAATGCCCAAAAGCCAGTTTGTGCAAAATTGGGCAGAAACACCCTCTGCTCCACTCATAGATTTTCTACCAATTCCTTTTCCTAGGCCACAACCTGACCTATGGCAAAGTGTTCAGTGGAGAGGCAGGTTTCTGAGTGCTGGTGAAAGAGGAGGGGATAAGAAAACCTTCCTAGTGAAAATGATACCTATATTTTTTAACTCACAGTTTGACAGAATTCTTATCATGATGACAGGAACTATAAGGTAAGAGAGATTAGGTAAGAACTGAGGTAACTCAAGTTCACTGTATTTCTGTTCCTATTATTTTTGAATACCTACTACAATAACTCCAGGATAATATTCTGCATTTTAAGAAGGGGATGAAGGGTACTCAAGGTCATGTTTACCACATCCACGAACTACAGTTTGAGATAACCAGGTTCAGTAAAATCATATCTACCAAACATAAAAATTCTCCAGCTTTTACACATTTCCAGTGTGGTAATAATATGGCTATTAATAAGCTACATACAAGTAGCACATTAAATACAAGAGTAATGCAAAAATTTATCAGGTGAAGAGATATATATTATTATTTTTTTAAATATCAAGGGCAAATCAAAAGTAGGTAGTAATCTAAGGTATATAGTAAGAAGAAAGCATCCCGTGATATAAGCATGTGACTTAGTAACTAAGGTGCTTCCATAGCTATATATGCCTTTCCCTTTCTTGGAATAGAAGGTAATACCTACAGGAAATTTAAATTCAGATAATTAGCTGGGCTGAACTGGAACTTAGCGCGAAACTATCAAGAAACAAACAGAAAAAGTTATGTTCTGATATGCTACTCTTAGGGCTCTTATTTCAGATGCCACCGCTTCCTTCTAGATCTACAATGGGAGAAAACTTTGTGTCAATACCAATTGTATTTGGAACTGGTAATGGACTGAGAGCCAATTAACTAAACCTCAGTCGCAGTAAGATGCCTTTGGACACAAAGTATGTCCTGTTCTGGATGAGGCTATACTCCATTTTCGGATCAAGTTCACACCTTGGAGATGCTGCTTGGTTTTGTGTGTCAAGACGCAGCCTCCTGTAGACAGAAATAATCTGACTATAATGATCTATTCTAATGCACTGAATGTGCAGCTGCCCTTGAAGTCTGACTACAAACTACGTTTAGTAAAGAATATTGCAGCTAGGTTATTAACTAGGACAGAGCATCTTACCAGTCTTGAAACAGTGATACTTGCTACCGGTCCATTTCCTAGCACATTTTAAATTACTGTTTTTAATTTTCAGGACCCTAAACCATTGGGACTAGGATACCTCAAAGGGCACTTCTTTCCACCCTTATCTGACTGTGTATTTTGTTCTTCAGAGACCCTGCTGCAGTTTCTGTGTCATCTGCAATGGCATAAGGAATGGAACAGGATGGGGCCTTTTCTGTTGTTGTACCACCAAATCTGGAATTCATTTTATGAGGCTTGTCTAAGGCCAAATAAAGACTAAAAATATACAATAGTTCATGTATTTTAGTTTGATGAATCTATTCCTACTGTTGAGGGTGTGTCATTTTAAGCTTTCCATGAACTACTCTTGCAGGATGTATATGCAAAAACCATTTACAGATGGTTAAAATAAACTGTAGATTATTATTCCCCTTTCCTGAATTGAATAAAATTATTTATCTGGGAATAACTGTTCAGTTATTCATGTGCATGAAAGCATACTACTCAGTTGTATTCTAAATTGTATACATTTTTCCCTGCAAGAATAAGCAATGCCCACTAGAGATTTCCATAACTGTAATATGTCAGTTCCTAAAGAGCTAGAAGCAAGTTTTCAACTGTGCATATTAGGATTTGCCTCTCTCCAAGTTAAGGTAAATTTTTTTTTAAGTAATACATTTACAACATTAGGACAATCCAGCCAAAATTAAATATTTTAAAGTCAAATTGATTTCATGAGAAAACAAAGAACATACTTAGAATTCTTGCCACTGAGAAGTGTTGAACATCCCTAACCCTTAATATTTCTGAGAAAGACTATAAAGTTTAGAGCCAAAATTAATTTTCAAATATGAAACTGGCAATTCCCAACCTTACATTAAGCTCAACTTAAAACAGTTGACTTCTTTATATGTCTACTTAGAAGTAATGGGGCTTACTTCTAGGTAAATACAGGATTGCAACCCTAGTCATATGTTGGATCTTAGCTGAAATCATTCTATATAACACTACCATTATTTTTATTAGAGAGTTCCCCACATTGTTAGAGACAAAATTATTTTCTGCAATCACTCTGTGCACTTAGAAAATGACATGTTTTTCATCAAGCAACTGAGGAATAATGTAAATGTCATAAAGTAGCACAAACAAATACACCTATTTTACGTGAAGTCCCTGCACAAATTGAAGTGGCTGCATGTATTTTTTTGTAAAGTATTTTCTAAACTGAAGTAAATTGTCATGTTAAACATTCTGTTTCTTTCTAGCTTTTTGTATATTTCTCAATTGGGATGTTCAATTACCAAACATGAGGATGTGCTAGTTCAATCAAGAATAATTAAAGGTATAACTATAGACACAGCCTTCAAGAAGTATTCACTCCCCATCTTTGACTTGTCCACATTTGGTTGTGCTATAACCCAGAAATGGAATGGATTTAATTGGCATTACTCCCACTTGATATACACAACACTCAGTACCGTGAAGTTGTAAAGTATCTTAATCATGGAACAAAAGTTAAGTGAACAAGAACAAGCTAGCAGGGACAACACCAAAAGGGGCACATCCCTTTAGTGTGCCTCTTTAGGATGCCACAATGATGTCCTTTTTTTCTTTCTTGTAAGTTTGTGCTGCATGGTTGTGTGCTTAGATTCACAATGGGATGGGAAGTGATCCATAGGCTTAGGGACTATTGCCCATGCTGGGTCAGAGGCTTGCATTTTGTGCTGCTTCTTCTGTTATGGGCAGAAGCCTATGGAAAAGAAAAAAAGAAAACTCCCTCTTGTTGAGAGTGGGATGGGAGGAGTAGCAAGAACACTCCAAGCAAGAGTTGAACTGAGGATGAGACTGTAGTAGAGGAAGTCATCTTTTATGTTGTTTAGAGAGTTGGTAGACTGAATGTCCCATCTGTGACTTGTGGATGAAATTCTGTGGCTGTGTTTAGGTTGGCTGTGTATGTCTGGTTGATGGTATATGTACGGTTTGAATGGTTGAAAGTATGCTTGTGGCTGCAATGAGTACATGGTAGTAGCATGTTTTTTCATGGCAGAGACTGGAAAACTAGTTAGGGCTGAGGGAAAGATGGAAGAACCAAATATAGGGAATCCTGGAAGAAAACTAATGAAGACCTAATACTGAGGTGGAGGTTCACCTTCCAGAAGGACAATGTTCTTAAATAGATGGCCAAAGTAAAAATGAGGTAGTTTAAAAACAAGAAAGTGAGTGTTTTAATGCCCAGTCAAAGCCCAATGAGAATCTGTGGCAAGATTTGAAAGCTGCTTTTCACCAACTTGACAGAACTGGCACAGTTTTGTCTGGCAGAATGGGCAAACACTGCAAGACCCAGAAGCACCAAAATGATATTTATCCAAGAAGACTCACAGCTGTAATTCCTGCCAAAGGTGCTTCTATCAAGTGTTAACTGGGAAAGAAGGGTGAATACTTGTGCAACTCAAAAAAGCCAGTTTGTTTTTGTTTATTTAACCTTTGGGCCACAATAAACTATTCTCTACTTCCACAGTGTTGAGCATCTTGTGTACATCCAATGTAACAATGCTAATTAAATCCACTTCATTTCCAGGTTGTAATAAAAGAAAATGTGGAAAAGCAAAGGGGGAGGGTGAAGACTTCTGCAAGACACTGCCCAAAAACAACAACAACAACAAACCCATACACAAAAGGTCACTCTGTTAAGTCCAATTTATCACAAAGAGTCTATTCCAAGTAGGACTTGTACTTAATATAAACCAAAGAGCCCATTCTCAGGGGAATGTTCCTGAATATATGCATGCAAGAATACACTATTTGCATCTGCTAATAAATATCTCTCTAATAAAAGAAAACTGCTTCTTACCTTTGAAGTCCACTTCACCATTTCCATCTGTATCAAATATATCTATTACTCGTTGTACCAGTGGATTCTGTTGTAATTCAGGCAAAGACATGAACTCTTCCACACTTAAAGAACCAGAGTTATCCAGATCAAGCTTTTTAAACCGCTTCCCCAATCGTTTAATCTCATCTGCATCAACTAAAGGAAGATGAGAGATAAGGAAAAGTATTTTTCAGAAATAATTCACTGCATAGTAACTCCATAGAGCATTCTTGTGATACAAGGACATGTCTTTCCTGGATAAACAAATTAAACTCTCCTTAAGAGTGAATAGTAATTGCATATACCTTTACACCAAGAGGTTACCTTTACATATAATCCAGTAAAATTGCTTTACTTTTTCACAGTACATGCCATGACACATTTAGCCTTACAGCTCACTATAACCACTGAATGTTAGGTCAAGCATTCAGAAGCCTGATAGTACTTAGGTAATTCCAGTCACATGGCTACTATAGACAAGCTATATTAACATCTGTCATGTTTGATCACGGACTTTCTCTTTAAGCCATAAATATTTAACTCTGAAGGATTTTAAAGGAGTCAGTTACGATGCATAGAACAGTGATGTACTTCTTAAATCTCATCAATTTCTATTTCTATTAAAATCAAATAGGTAGTGCTTAGATACTAGCTTTATCATAATGAACAGGGATTCCCAAACAATGGATTGGAGTCTTATACCTCCTGAATAGTAAATACATTCAATATGATTTTTCAACTGATGGGTAAGTATTGCGCCAGTTAACATAAAGTGACAGCCCATTGTGGTATTATTTAACAAATGTTGAGACTTCAGTGCATGCAACTGCCTTTCTGCATATCCAAATCCTGAACAGGGATTCCTGGGGCATGCAAACCTGGTGAACACAGTTTATGCAAGATCATTTTTTTTTTCTTTTAAGTTGAAGGACTGTCTCCAACTGCATTTTTTTCTTAAAAAGACATCTGATTTAAAATGGCTCTGAGATTTAGCTCAAAGGAAGGAGGAAGAATTCAAATGACGGAAGAATTCAAAAGCAGCAACTGAAGTACAAGATGCTTACCTGTTTTGAAAAGTCATGTTTAATCAAATGTTATGTGAACTTCACTCACCCAATAAGCATTTTTCTTTGCTTCCTCCCCCACACATGTATACTCCAGATCTGCTCCAAATGCTCTGAAGCAGAAAGGGCTGCAAAGTGACTGTGTGGGGAAGGATCAATTTGATATGCAAACAGTATCTGTTCCACTGAATACAAGTCAAGAGAATTCATATGATCTCAGAAGCAGTGTTCACAAAGAATGAGTGCTACTGGATAGTTAAAACTGGTGAGCTGCAGAACATGTTTTGAGGTGCCTATTGTGAAACTTGGGGAGCATGGGTCAAAGGTATAAGGGCATATTGGCTAAGGCAGATCAAGAGGAAATGTGAAAATGAAATACCACAACTATTTCCGAGCTACATTTGTGTTCTGCGCTCATCAAAGAAAATGATGTAAGTCATTTCATTTCTGTGAATGTCTGCATGGAGGCAGAGTTGATGTGCCCACCCATACAACACCACACCATGTTTCAAAGTTTCTCCCAGTTTTGAGGCACCTTTGAGAGTGGGTGCAGCAAGGAGAAGGCAAGACACATCACACTCAGCTGTCTGGATTCACAAGCATTCTATAAGCATGATCATTTAGCAGAAAATTTCCTGGGCGCCAAGATCACCGCAGATGGGGACTGTAGCCAACAAGTTAAAAGACGCTTGCTCCTAGGGAAGAAAGCTATGGCAAATCTAGACAGCATACTAAAAAGCAGAGACATCACCCTGTCAACAAAAGTGCATATAGTCAAGGCTATGGCTTTTCCAGTTGCAATGTATGGTTGTGAACGTTGGACCATAAGGAAGTCTGAGTGCTGTAGAACTGAAGCCTTTGAATTGTGGTGCTGGAGGAGACTCCTGCGAGTCCCTTGGACAGCAAGGCGATCAAACCGGTCAGTCCCAGAGGAGATCAACCCTGACTGCTTTTTAGAAGGCCAGATCCTGAAGATGAAACTCAAATACTTTGGCCAGCTAATGAGAAGGAAGGACTCCCTGGAGAAGACCCTGATGCTGGGAACAATTGAGGGCGAAAGAAGGGGACGGCAGAGAATGAGGTGACTAGATGGAGTCACTGAAGCAGTTGGTGTGAGCTTAAGTGGACTCTGGGGGATGGTGGAGGACAGGAAGGCCTGGAGGAATGTTGTCCATGGGGTCACAATGGGTCAGACATGACTTTGCGACTAGCCACAACAAACACTAATTACTATACCATACTGTATACCACTTGAATATAAAACATATACAGGTGGTATGCAGCAACATAATAATTTAAATACAGAATAGGCTAGTTGCCAACTTAAACTAAGTTTGGAGGAGGTAGATCCATTGAAATCAAAATGGGACTTCATTTAGTTACTGCTCGTGTGTCTAATGATTCCAACAGATGTATTCTAAGCATGACTAAGTCTGGATTCAAACCAAACCAACTTTCAGGCATTTGAAGAAAACTGTTCTCTCTCTCTCTCTGTCTCTCATTCTGTGTGTGTGTGTGTTATGCACTTCCCTCAATGCTCAATACTTTTTTAAAAGCACTGAGGTCAGGTAAGTACTATCTTTGCATGCTCAAACTGGAATATGTAGAACCTCTATCCCATCAAGCGAAGAGGGCAAGGTCCTATCTTAGCGGCATTCATGCCTCAAATGGCAGAAGCCTGACCTTTGGGTAGAAAAAAGAATTGTCATAACTAGATTATTATTAACTTTAACTTTCACACATGCTCTTAATCTTATGTTGGGGAGTTGCACTCTCAGGACTATGGCTATAAAAGAGGTTTCTGAATGGCTACCATAACGTATGATATATTAGGATGGAAGAAGCGTTTTCAGAAAAAGAAGTGAGGGTGCTTTTAATCCCTGAGTTAGTCTCTACTATAAATACTCCAAATATTTGCAGTAAAAAGGAATATGGGAATGTAAACAAATTTTTGTATAAAAGATACTGCATCAAATCTTACTTTTATGACTATGAAACACATGAACACTGAAGATCACCTACAAAGTCCTCAACAGCTTGGGACCTGGTTATCTAAAGGAGTGCTTGCATCCATATATGCCCTCCCGCTCCCTGAGATCTGCGGGAGAGGCCCTCCTCCGGCAACCCTCCGTGAAAGATATTAGGAGGGTGAGTACCCAGAGGAGGGCCTTCTCTGTGGTGGCACCCCACCTATGGAATGTGCTCCCCAGAGAGGTCCGCCTGGCGCTGTCGTTATTTGTTTTTTGGCACCAGGCCAAGACCTTTTTATTTAAAAGTTATTTTAATTGTTAACTGATTATTTATTGGGTTTTATATTGTGCCAAAATGTCTCCAAAATTTTTAAGGTTAATTATGTGAATGGTTTCTGTTTTGTAAGCCGCCCCAAGGCTTTTTGCGAATGGGACAGCATAGAAATGTTTTAAATAAATTACAATTATCCAATATAAAACATTTAACACACATTTTTAAATAAATTATTTAAGCATAAACTTACAGTGCGAGCACATTTCCAGTGGGTAGCTTGCCTCATTTCCCTGAAATAAGAACACACATACCATAGTTTTAAAATACATCTTAAAATATTAAATCAATTTACACAGTTTGTAAATTCAAGTTAGTACAAAATTAAACATTAAGTAAATATCATACATGCTGAAACACTATATTCCACATTTCTTTGATTATACAGACTTTGTTTTATTTGAAGGGTACCCATTTTAAAGGACTCATAGCAGGATATATACAGTTCTCAGTTTGTTTGTTTCAAAAGAACCAGGAAAACCTCTCAAGTGCTAAAAACTATTTTATGTATGGAATTATTCTACCTAATCCAATTGTAAGATACACTTCAACCATGCACTCTTTTAAAAAAGGCAACAATGTTTAAATTACCAACAATTAGAATCAACAAATAGGCTGGCAAGGTCTTTAATTATTCTTTTCCTCACTTGATATTTCACATAGGCAAAGCTGTGCCTGAACTAAAAGAGTATTCCATAAATCCAGAATCCAGATCAATGTTGAACTCTGCAACATGAGTTGATTTAGCAAGTGATGAGTACTTGTTTATGATGGTTAATTTTGCTAGTCTTTCAGAAAGACAAAGCATTATGCTTAAAGATAGTTTCTGCAAACACACATCCAAAGAAAAATGCCATCTTGGGCTCATTTTTATTGTCATACATATGAAGCAACTATCTCAAAGGAACTTGTTCATATTACTTCTAGTAAGGCTTCTGCTTGAAGCCTGGTGCTTGAAGCCTCACACCCTAAAAAAAATCTTAAATTCTACTCCATTCATGCAGTGCTATGCACTAAGAACTCTGTATTTCCCATCTAAGTAATATTGCTATAGTGCTGTGAATGTATTTGTACTTGACATAAATTGAACTTATGCATCTGCAAAAGACAGCAGGGAATACACTATACAAACAGGTATACTCCATGATTACATGGATCCTACAAATTAATTATAAATTCAAATAGCATGGTAGTCACTATTTTCAGTTGTTTTAGTAGCATCACAACTAGTTCAGTACCACTTAATTCTTGTACCAAAAACCTAGGTACAACTTAAAGGATTAAGCCCAAGATTTTATGACCATTCTAGAACAGTCATTCAGGATACCCTTCTTGTGACCAGAATTCACACTTGTGTGGTTTGAGGGCAAAACTGCTTTCTGGGCTATTAAGGCCAATGCCAACACATTAATTTGGAATCAGAAATGCACTGGCAGCCAGTTACAGCATGTATGAGTCACATAATCTGACTACCTTCTACTTAAAAGCATTTGAATGGCTGCATTTTGTCCCAGATGAAGTTTCTAAACAGCCTTTAAAGGAGTGCTCATAGAATGCATAACAGTAATCCTGAATAAAAGTCATCTTCCCTGAGCTGGTACCCTCCAGATGTTCTGGACAAATTCCCATCAGCCCCAGCTGGTTAATAGTCAGTTCCAAATGAAATATTTTCTGTGTACCCCAGCATTTGATCTAGTTAGTCTGTCCTTTTCACTGCCTTTTAATTAATCTATTTTATTGCCTTTTAATATACTTTGTGATTATATTTTTCCATATATTTTATGATTATATGCCCATCTACATCTCATGATATATATTGTCCTATTTTTGATGCAAAGTGATCTAAAACTTCGTGAACAAACAATTTTTTTTCCTCCAAAGAATTCAGAGATTTCTTATTTTATCCTCAAAACTCCCCTGTAAGTGGGTTAAATAAACCCTATGGTTCAACCAAGAAAATCCAGTTCAGTTTCAAGGAGTCTTCAGTACCAGCCTAACATTATCCAATACAGCATACTGGTTAAAACTATTAGGAGCTACAGGTTAGGAACTAAACACACACACTCCTTTCCAGAAAAAGTAAATCAGTAGTATACGTGTGGGGTTTCAATAGTCTTTGCAGCATAAATTATATCATTAAAAACTTTCCTGGCAACTACAACACCTCTGTGTTCCTGCTCCCCTGCTCACTGTCTTCCCTGCATTCAGAAAAGCACAGGGAGCAATCTCAGTCTTGCAAAGTACAGTACACAGTGCTAACAGAGAAAGCAAGCGAGAACTGTACCTTCTCTCACTTTCTCTTTCAGCTCTATATACTTTCCAAGACTGAGATGGCTACCTGGGCTACTAGTCTTAGACTGGAAAGTACAACAGGTGAAAGAAGAGAACAAAATGTTGCTGTTTCCCACTTTCCTCTGTCAGGTCAATATAACTTTTTAGGCTGAGCCTGACATGCAAATAGCTGTGCAGAAAACAAGAGTGACAATGAGGAAAGCAGCCTGTAAAAATGTTCAAAATAACAGAAAGAAAATGGTATATGGAATGGGTTGTAGGGAGAAAGCATAGTAACCCAAATCAGGGGCAGGTGGAGTGTGAAAAAAGCAACTGGGAGAGGGAACAAATATTCCACTGGATCAAAAACATGTTTTTGTGTCCAATACCCTACTTCGGTATGGTACTTGCCTTTCATCCTCACATGTTTAACTTTTATAAATGGGGAGATCTGTGACTGGCAACCTCCATGGCAGCCATTTGGTGACTGTGCCCAGAACCATGGCTCAGAATTCTAAATGTGCCTGACAATATTTAGGAACCCTGGTTTCTATCATTGAGATGGCCTGCTGAAAAAACTAAAAACTTTAGTTCATTAAGAAGTAAAGAATAGGTTCAGAAAAATTATCTATATTATGCCACAGAAAATATTACGTGATTTCTCTATGTGTGTTTGTATTAGACAACACTGTCTAACAAAAAATAAGTAGCATTCATCAACACTGCCTATCTGTAAGAAATCTGGTATGCATACACTATAACTGGGCTACAAACATTTCTACAAATCAATTGTTTTTGCTGAAGTCTGTAACTAGGTCACGGAGGTATATAATTCCACATTCATTAGCCTTCAAGAGCTTTGCTTCTTTCTTTCAACCCCTTACTCTCTTTTCAATTCCCCCTTCTAGTTGTCCACTCGCTCATTTGAGAATAGATTAAATTCAGCCCTTTACTCCGAGTCATAACCAACTTATTATATATTTATTATATTTCAAGCATAGCATTGTATCTCTCCAAATTTCAAACACTCAACTTCCACTACTGAGAGACAATGAAGTTTCTTACTATTCTTCAAATGCTGATGACAGCAGAATTTTTGGAATATTTACAATATTTCCATTTGCTTCATTTGTACTAAATTTGCCTTTTTCAATATTTAAATGCAGGATCATGAAACTAATAGTACATTTTCTTATGTTTTCTTTTGAAACCTTGCATATTTAAATGCATCAAAGCTTATATGCTGATTATCTTAAAAGCACTGCTGGCTTTCCAGTTGCGAAATTTTATTTTCTTCATGATTTGTAAGCTGACAGTTTGAAGAAGCATTTATTAGCCAGAAAAAGGTAATGGTTGACATCTGACCAGTCTCAATTAGAACCCAGGAAGGTGCACAGCTAACCCAGGCACATGTCACGTTTTTATTTTTCTTAGTGACAGAGGGCCCTAACCCTACTTAGCCTTCTGAATAAGGAGACCTCAAGCAATGAAGTTGTTCTAACTTGACAGTAAAAGGTTAGTAGTAAGATCACTGAAAACCAGATGACAGAAAGAGAGGTCTACAGCTGACAGACACTTAACCTGGGGAGCAGTTGTCTATGATTCACTAACTATTTATAGTGACAGAGAGGAATCAACTTAAGACTTGGCTGTAATGCACAGATCTAACCAAGTAGGAGACCTCAGGAATGGAGGAATCAGTTTATATTACTTGTGTCTTTGAAAGGTATGCAGAATATATTTAAACAATTATAAGAGGAAATAATCAAGCTAAGAAAATGTAATAATGAGAAGATCTTACTTTAGTATCCATCTAAATTGGCTGCAGATACCCAGAAAGAACTGAAAGCGAACTTCAGGCTAGGTAGCTTCTGTTACAAATCTAATACCTGCCTGGCCCACCTTTGGTGTCAAGAAATTCCAAGGTTAGTTAGCATAGATACAAATACTGAACACACCTTTCACTGAACCACTAAAAAACTAGGAGGAAAGCTATGCATGCTACCAAACAGCAGTATACAGTTGATGCATCTGGTAATGTTCTTCAGCATGAGGAAGACTAAAACTTCTTTCATCCTCTCCTTTCCCTTCACCACTGGAGCCTCCTCACATGTGCCCCAAATCTGTCCCAACTTTCTGCAGCAGATTTGGAGAGCACAAAGAGTATGTGCTGTTACACAGCCCTTGAGGAGTGACAGTGTACTCAAAGTGTAGGCATCGAATAGAACAGCCGCACTCTTTAAACAGCCATACTCTTTAAGCACAGGAAAAGGCATCATTCCCTCTCATCATGACGTGATATAAATTCAGCGGCTGCTCCTCAGTCTGGGATTGAGTAGCAAAGAAAGTCTCAATATGTTCAAAGGAAAAGCCACTTTTCCATATTCAAGCAAATGAACAGCTTTGCCACAAATGGGTTAATCTGCAAGGTAGGCCAGGCAACACTGAGTATGAGGGGTACATAACAACTGAAAATGTGCTACACAGTGACACGGCATTCTTCACTTTTTCTACATCAAGTAGTGCGACCAGCTAACAGGGCTGATGTATCTGTTACTGCAAAGATGTATAATCTAAAATTCATCCTAAATTTTGTTAATGTAAGTGCTGTATGAACATCAGAAAGTTGCTGCTTTATTAGAACTACTTAATAGTTGAAGACATGATAGTGCTGCTACTCAAATTTTTTCCCTAATGGTGTAACTACATTAATTTTTGCCAATAAACTTATAGAAAAATGATGGTAAAAAGGGGAAACATAAGAAGACAGAATGGGAGAGCAGAAGGAAGATTACATAGACTTCTAAGTGTGTTATGCTCTCTTAGTGCGTTATGCTCTAAGTAGGAAAGAGATCAAGAAACCAGAGAAGAATGACAAAATGAGCTAAAATAATAATGGAGACAAAAAATTTTAAAAATGGGGTGTGGGACTTTTATTTTTACTGTATGATAAAAATTAAGA